TATATATATATACACACACACACACACACACACACACACACACACACACACGGTAATTGTTATTATTATTACCACTGCTGTTAATTTAGCGGTGGCATAAACCTTATACTGACTGATGATCTAATGAATTTGTATATGCCTCATAATCAGCACACCCAATCGGCAACTACTCCATGAAGAGTTTGACTTGAGCTTTTAATTTTTTCATGAAACCAAGACGTTTTAGACAATCCTTTGCTTCCAACTGAGAACAGTTTCAGAAATGCTCCTTTCGGTTCCAGGAAGAGCTTGAGAGAAGTGGCCTCGACCCAGCAAATACATTCGATAGTAGGCGACAACATCTGACCTCACACCTTTGTGACAGCACAAAAATTCCAGCACACTACATAGGCTGGTCGTACCTGTAGCGGTCATAGCTAGAATAGGGGAGGAAACATTTGTTTGTATTGTGGCTCTAGGATAACCTCAATGGTGTACATTACATAAGTCAACTGGATGTAATGCATTTTTTGTGATGTTGTGGATTCTAGGAGATGTGCAGAATGGGAAGACAACCAACGGTGTCCATAATAGCAAGATACAACTTAGGTAAATTTTAATGCTGTCCATTGACGACGACATTTGAATTGTTTTTGAAGCAATGATTTTCTTTTAACGGCACAATATTTCATGAAACCTGACCACAAATGATTGTTTTCAGAACCATAACCTTTCGCAAGAGAAAGTACCGGTCTGTAAACTCGGCACAGTAAATATTCATGCTGTCTTTCTAGCTGTTGCAGCTTCTCTGATCTTCCTCCACATTTGGAAAAGATCAAACAACAAGCAAATGATGCGTTTGCACGGCAGCATTGGACGCAGGCCATCCAACTGTATAGTTTAGGAATTAATCATTCCAGCTGCAACGCCATTCTCTACGGAAACCGGGCTGCAGCCTACATGAAGCGGAAATGGTAGGAGTCATTCTGTTATATGACGTGATGTCAAATCCCTGCATGATATCCAATCATCATCTTCTATTCAGAATCGTCTTTATTGGCCAAGTACGTTAAAAATAGAAAAAGCACCAGGAATTTATCTCGGTTCTCCATGTTTGTAAATTCTCCATGTTTGTAAATGTTGTAGGGATGGAGACCACTATGACGCACTCAAGGATTGTTTGAAGGCACTGACGCTAAACCCGGATCATCTGAAGGCTCATTTCAGACTTGCACGGTGTCTATTTGAGCTCAAGTATGTGTCTAAAGCACTGAAATGCCTCAACGATTTCAAAGAAAAATTTCCAGAGCAAGCCCACAGCACTGCGTGTGATGCTTTGGATAAGGATATCAAGGCCTTCTCAAACACAAAATCAGGTGGGCTAAAAGTCTTTGATGCTGTCCCTTGTTTAATGCATAGATTTCTCATTCCTCGTTTATCGTCATTTACTAAAACTAGAATGGCCATCAGTGGAGAAGAACATTGCCAAGGTCAAAATATCCCAATTTGGTTTTGAATCTTTCATCTCCTGTGTATGTTTAAAATATGTCATCAAAATTCTTGCATAATGCACTGATACATTTCAGAAATGTATGCATAATACCTTGGCCAGACATCCCAATTTTTTTTTCATTTGCAGTAATGTGAAAAACTAAATAATAATTGAACATAGCAATCTTAGTTGGGGCTGCAACAAATGTAATGTTGTTTATGTGGAAATGGCAGTCAATTCTTGGATTTGAATGCAATTTTCAGTGATTTAGAAATGAACTGTTTTTTTTTTCTGGCACTAGGCAAGTCTTAATTGTGGTCTGTTCTTGACTTTATTTTCTATGTAAGTAAAAATTAAATACTTATTTTTGTGTTTGCATGAGTGACATAATTTTTTATCTCTAACCAGCAGAAGATGATTCCAACAGCTCCCTCCGATTCCATTCAATTAGTCAGTTGGACCCCATCCCCATGGATGAGTTTGTTTTTCGAGAGCAAAGCTTGGACTATAAGCACAGATACTGTGGTCACTGCAACACCACCACGGATATAAAAGAAGCCAACTTCTTTGGAAGGTCAGTGATGAGAGCTCACTCAAGGCCAGTTGCAAGCACTGCAAATAAAACAGTCAGCAGTGACTCTTTGAAAAAAGTGTTTTTTAAATGTAGTTTTGCATTAGAAACTGAATGAAACGCCAATATCAAACAGTCACTCTATTGTCTAATTCCAAGTTCATAGGGTCAGTCTGACTCCAAATCTTTCCTGCGCAGCAAAGGCCAGTACATCGTCAGCGGGTCAGACGATGGCTCGTTCTTTATCTGGGAAAAGGAGACAACAAATCTGGTGCGTATCATGCAAGGGGACGAGTCCATAGTCAACTGTTTGCAGCCTCACCCGACCTGCTGCTTCCTGGCCTCGAGTGGTATTGACCCTGTGGTCCGATTATGGAACCCTAGACCAGAGGTAAGCAACTTGTGTTTGGATGAATGCATGAAAGTTTTAAGCCCGTGTCTCACTGAGCGGCGAAGGTTGGCAAGTGTTTTCGCATGGTCAAATGTTTATTTTTCATCTGGGCTCATTCAAGGTCACAAAAGACGTTGTTCGCCGGACGTGAAACAACAGGTTTAGCGGTTGCAAAAAGTTTTTCTTGTCACCAGGAAATTTTCATCATGCTGGGTGTCAAAGGAGAGGTGCCCACTTAGCTATTTTGAACATTTAAAAAATATCCTGCTGACAAGAAAAACTGGTTGTGACTTTGAACAAACCTTATCGTAAACAGTATGAAAAACAGTTCTAGACCATAAATATAAAACAATAAAATCAACAGTAGATGCAGTGGTAACTGAGCCTTAAAAAAATGTCAATCAATACAAATATAAACTGAGAACCTCCCTTCCAAAGTTTTTGATTTTTTTTTTTCTTCTAAATGTCCACAAAGTATAGCTTTTCCCTCTTGTCTCCGTCACTCGTTCATTCTTTTGTTTTCTGACAGACCGAGAGCGAAAATGGCCGAGTGGTAGAGGACATGGAAGGTGCAGCTCAGGCCAACCAGCGGCGAATGAACGCGGATCCACTGGAGGTTATGCTGCTCAACATGGGCTATCGTACCGCAGGATTGCGTGGCGTAGGCCCAGATGGTTCTGATGATGAGGACACCTCAGATGGACAAATGCAATGTAGACCAAGCTAAAACGAGCTGATGGCCATTCTGTAGAATGGAAGTAGTAAGCAAAGCGCTGTGCCCCGTTTGTTTGAGCCCCAATTTGCCCTCCTTTCTATCACACTGTAGCCTCTCAACTCACTCTGTGTTGCCAGGCAGACACCTCGCACATCTCCCCCAGTTTGTCACACAGATGGGCAAGTTCTGCACTGCTCCCTGAGGTTTATGTTGGGTGTCAGAGGAGAGGTGCCCACTTACCTATTTTGAACATTTAAAAAAATATCCTGCCGACAAGAAAAACTGGTTGCAACTTTGAACAAACCTTGTAGCAAACAGTATGAAAAACAGTTCTTGACCAAAAATATAAAACAATAAAATCAACAGTAAGTGCATTGGTAACTGGGCCTTGAAAAAAATGTCAATCCATACAATCATAAACCGAGAACCTCCCTTCCAAAGTTTTTGATGGTTTTTTTTTTTTGTCCAAGAAGTGTAGCTTTTCCTTCTTGTCTCCGTCACTCATTAATTCATTCCTTTGTTTCCTGATAGACCGAGAGCGAAAATGGCCGAGTGGTAGAGGACATGGAAGGTGCAGCTCAGGCCAACCAGCGGCGAATGAACGCGGATCCACTGGAGGTTATGCTGCTCAACATGGGCTATCGTACCGCAGGATTGCGTGGCGTAGGCCCAGATGGTTCTGATGATGAGGACAGCTCAGATGGACAAGTGCAATGTAGACCAAGCTAAGGCGAGCTGATGGCCATTCTGTAGAAATGGAAGTAGTAAGCAAAGCTCTGTGCCCGTTTCTGATTGAGCCCTAATTTGCCCTCGTTTCTATTACACGATAGCCTCTCTCAACTTAATCTGTGTTGCCACGCAGACACCTCGCACATCTCCCCCAGTTTGTCACACAGATGGGCAAGTTCTGCACTTCTCCCTCAGGTTTATGTTGGGTGTCAAAGGAGAGGTGCCCAATTACCTATTTTCAGGTTACTGTGGCCCTGCAGCGGCACTGACCTTGTTGGAGGATCATGTCACAGTTGAAGGGTGCACACATCTCAGAAAGGACGTACAATCGGCTTGTTGCCTAGAGTCTTGACTTTTCAATTGGAGTTCTCGAAGCCTGCAATGAAATGTCATTCTTCATCTAATGAAAGTTGCATGTCGCAAGGATATGGATGAGCTTTGTTTGGTTAACAAGCTTGTAAGAATTGTCTTCTGCCAAAGTTTTCCCTCCATCAGTCAAATGGCCAAGGATTTGTGTTTGTTTAATCCCAAAAATGGGACGTTTCATATAATTCATTCAGCCAGAGACAGTTCATTTAGACAATTAAGTAGGTTAATTGAACCTACTTAGTTAATTTTCCATTTGAAGTCCTCTTGATTTCAAATGCAATTTAGTGTGAAAATATTTTTTGTTTGTTGAAAGTGGACACATGCTTTGAGGCTGTGATGAGTATGCACCAAGTATTTGATAACAACTGCTGCGTGTCGCTAGCTCTCATCCTTGGCTACTCTACACTTCGATGCTCTAAAGTGAATAAATGTTAACATATGCAAAAGTAGGCTTACATGTGTTTTACTTTGTTCATCGAGTTCACCTATTTCTTTTTGAGTCATTATGATACTGTTTGCTGGAATCACAGACACAAACTTTAAATAATAAAATAACAGAAATCTTGCTTGTGTTTTTTCTCCCGCAGTACCGTTGAAAATAAATTAAGTTAGCAGAGAGGTACTGAAAGCGAGGCCATGCTTTCAACCTGGTATTGTACTCATACATCAATGACATATTCACCATCTGCTTTTGCTGACGATGAAACAATTGTGTGTACAGCAAATCACCATTGGGGCAACACATGTGCCATATATTGTACGATAATGAGGTCACCCAGCTTCAGCGGAGTTTACAGTGATAAAGTTAGAAGCTGACTAGGCAGTGTGAATGATGAACAGACCCGAAAAGTAAAACAATCTAGTTTTCATGAATCCGATATGTTCAGTCCCAAAGGTCCCTGGGCCTAAATCTGCCAGCAGGGTATTTTTCCACCTAAAAAAAATGGACCAGGAACTTTATTTTTAGGAGAGGTCATATGGTATGAACATGGAAGGTTCCTCGAAAATGTTGTAGTTCTAGGCTAAAGTTCTTGTGGTGAAAGCAGGCTTATAATGAAGTGTTTTAATATCACTTCATAAGTAAGCCTTTAGAAACAAATATGCAAATGTTTGACAACTTGCAACTGTGCAACGTAGCCTACTGTACATCTGGAGCAGTGGAGAATATTCCGGGATATGAGAAAAAAAAAATCAAAAATAAATAAAATAAACAGCTCGGATAATGAATGGAAGTATTCATTTGAGCAGATCACGATGGATCTTTGGCTTGTCAAAACTGTAACAAGAATTGCACTGACTAACCAATCAGGATGAAAAAAAATAGTATAGACTCGGGAATACATGAATGCAATTTCATTTAACAAATATTAGAATAAATTGTACATTTAGGTCAGTGCTTCTGATTGTGTTGTGGCCATGAAAGATGGCTCACCCCTAATGGTTCATGTGGGTGCTGGAATAAAGTGCCCTTTGTATAGACATGTATGTACTAGCCGTAATACAATACATATGTCATCGTTTCGAATGGCAAGGAGTCTTGAAGTCCATCCATTTTCTTGAACCGCTGAATAGAGCGATGCTGCGTTCATGGACTGCAGATCCGTCCACGGTGACGCGATCACGCACTGCCTAGTTGCCTGCTGTACATCACCGTCATCGTTAACCCGTCAGAGGTCGATCGGTGATGGCGGAAGCGCACAACGTCGTCATAATGAAGAACTACCACGGAGATTTCTTAAACGACAAAAAGAGCACCCGCTACCCCTATTCCATCGTCTGGACTCCCATTCCTATTTTGTCGTAAGAAGCTAACGCTCGAGCTATTGCTAGTTAGCAGCGTTCAGTTTGGCCACGTCGGATGTATTATTTCATTCACCAACGGGCATTAAGTATCTTTGCATCTCACTGTCCCTAACTATTGAACTGCTCTAAGAATTGAACAAGTATAATGTTTTCAGTCGATCTTTATGAGAAATGACGTCTGTTTTCATTCTGCAGGTGGGTGCTGCCTTTCATCGGCCATATGGGGATATGCACCTCTTCCGGAATCATCAGAGATTTTGCAGGATCTTACTTTGTCTCGGTTGGTATCGTTGATCTATCGACCCCATAAGGAATATAAATAATATTTGGCATTGTTTAAATTGTCATTAGTCGTTGATTTTACACGAATCCATATATGGACTGAATGTTTCAATTTTCCAGGAGGACAATATGGGTTTCGGGAGACCAACAAAGTAAGTAATAAATCTGATAATTATAATGATACCAATGCCAATAATAGTGACCAAGAATAAATTAAATCTTCCCATACTTAGGTACTGGAAGCTTGATGTTAACAAAGTGCGTGGCAATGGTGCTGCGACTTGGGACAAAGCAGTATATGATGCATCTGAGGAATACAAAAGCAGGCAGGTAAGAAATATCAATCTGGACATTTAATCATAAATTCTGAAGCAGAATTAAAATTTTAATAACTACTTTTGTGTTTGTTAAAGCACAACCTGTGTTTTGATAACTGCCATTCCCACGTCGCCATGGCCCTCAATTTAATGCGCTATGACAACAGCTCCTCTTGGAACATGATCAACTTGTGCTTTGGATCCCTCATTCATGGCAAATATGTGAGGTAAGCATTGACAACACATTCACGTTTTACCAACAATAATTAAATTGCAGAGTTCATTTGCAAACGGAGCCACCTCTACAAAGGCTCACAATTGGCCAATTGAACCATTGGAGCACATCATTCAAATCCGTCCATCCATACATCCACCCAACCATCCATTAGTCAATTTTGTTTTGTGGTAATAACATGTTTTTTTTTTAGAGAATGTATTTATTAATTTTCATTTTCTGTTTACTAATATGCCTACAGAGCACATTCAATGGAAAAATGTTATTTACACGTGTGTGTGTGTGTGTGTGTGTGTGTGTGTGTGTGTGTGTGTGTGTGTGTGTGTGTGTGTGTGTGGAGAAAGAGAGAGAGAGACAGACAGACAGACAGACAGAGAGACAGACAAAATGGGTAATACTTACTTTCGAGTCACCAACCCGGTCTTACTTTTGGAAGTTTATACATTACTTTCGAGTCACCAACCCGGTCTTACTTTTGGAGGTTTATACAATACTTATCTTATTTATATGAGGATCTAAAGCTCGAATCAAACACTCATCTGCCTATCTATAGTCTCCATGTACTTCTCCATCTCTACAGATTGTCAAAGTCAACTCAAAACTTTGCAGAAACTGCCAGTAATCTAGTTATTGACACTTAACAACTATCAGCGTTTGAAATGACACTTAACAACGTATCTGCCTTTGCAATGAAAAAGCGACATATCCAACTGCTATGGTCGTTGGGATATGTTGCAATTGTTAGCACAAAGGACAAACCCCTCTCTTTATCACGGGACAAAAAGAACCAAGTGGAGGTCGAGCAGCGTCTTTGTTCAACTTTTGAGGTTCCATTTTAAGCTATCCATATTTTAGGCAGGTTTCACCTTAATTTATTTTGCAGTGTGTATTTTGGTGCTCGGGCAGTAGTGGTTGAAGCATCTATATCACGAATGTGCACAGGACGTTTATTAAGCCCACTTTTCTGCCTCATACAGACATATGGCTGAGAGTCACCCCCTCATTATTCTCCGTTGACCCACATAGAGAATGCTGGCGTCACAGTTTGTGCTGCCTACGCACATCCACTTCGACGCCACAGGAATCTGTGTAAAACAGGGGGTGCCATGCAATCTATCACTGACAGAAGCACTCACACACGTGCCACCACTGGAGGTTACTTCTCCGCTGGGGCTCACTGCACTAGGTGGTGGGGGTGAGGTGGGAGGAAGGACAGTCGGACATCAAGCATGGGGGAAAAAAGACACTGGGCCATGTCATTGTCTCTCCATGATCCAGGGGGTGGGTGTTAGTGGGGGGCTTTGCACAATATACAAGTTTGTAGTTGACAAGCCCTCTAATGTTCTTTGCCCTCTTTGTATCCTTTAGTTGGTCCGCGTTCCTCAAGACCTGGCTACCCTTCATCATTCTCTCCGTTGTAATCGGCATGGTCGTCCTAACATTCAACCTTCAGTAATACACTACACCAGGAGACACATTTATAACAATTTCTTTGACACATCTTATGTTTGATTGAGATTTTGGCAGTGGTGATTTGTATGCTGTAAAGTATTGCAAGCAAATGTTAGATTCTTTTCTGCTCGGGCTCTTTGATGTTATGCTGAGTTTAACATGTATTTTTCATAATGAACGTGTTTCCAGACCGGCTAATGTGCATTCCAGTGATGAAGAAAGGAAATGACAATGTGTATCGCGATACAATCTCAATGCTGAAAGTATTCATCAGTTATTAAAGAAAGTAGGTGATACAAAGCGCTGCAAAGACAGAAGGATGAATGACCCATTTGAAGGAAAAATGACCCTGAGTAGATAAATGTGTTTATTGTATTTTTTTTTTTTTTTTTTAAGGTAGGATGCATATTTTGTTCAATGCTTAGAGACTGTATAGCTTCATTCAGGAATGTAATTTTAGCATCAAACAAGCAAAATACGTTTGTATGTGTATTACAATGTGGCTGCTCTGATTGTCCGCTGTAGCTTTAAGGGGACTACACACATTTTTTCATCCAGCAGATTCTGCAATACAAGCTCTGCCATCAATTTACAAGACCCTTTATTCCCAGAGTGCAGCAGATGAGGAGGGACTATTGCTCGGGAGCTTTTTACTCATGTTGGCATTACTTTGTGAGATCCGCTGCATTAAAATATAGACTGTCTTTATTCCGGTCTGTCTTTTTTTTTTTGTAGTTCTATATTGGAGACTGTTTAGCAATGAGTATTTCAGCAGTTTGGGTGCTTTTGGGATTACTATTTTGTGCCCAGTCCCGGTGCTCAGAGTGTCCTGGTGGCTGTGAGTGTTTTGCTGTCACACGCACAGTGAAATGTGTGTCTACGGATCTTCTGATGGTGCCACAAATTATTCCAGGATATGCAAAGACTGTCATCATCACGGAGAATACTATTCACAGAATTGGACCTGATTCCTTTAAAGAGCTGGAGAATGTTTCCAAGGTCATTTTAAGCAATAATAGGTGAGAATGCACCATATTCGTTCATGTTGAGACAAAATGGCTTTCAAGCTGTGTAAATCTAACAAGAACATTTTGTGTGTGTTTATTAACAATCGTACATTTTTCAAATGGTTAACCATGGAAGTTGTCCCCTCAGGATGACACAGATGGCATCACACAGCTTCTCTGCTCTCATCAACCTGCACTTCCTGGACCTCAGCGGTAACCAGTTGTCAGTTATCCATCCGGAAGCTCTGAGCATCCCCGGGAGTCCTCTGCAAGAGCTCAACTTGAGCCGCTCGCTCTACAACTTCACCGCACTGACAGACCTCACCACGGCTCTCCGCTGGGGGGACCTCCGGGGGCTCCTCTGTCTTGACCTCTCCGGGAATCACCTTGCTCTGCTTCCCCCGGGGATATTCTCTGACCTGCTCAGTCTGCAGCAGCTCTTCCTTAGCAACAACTCTCTGGTGGCAGTCTACAGCGGAACCTTCTCCGGCATGAACAACCTAGAGCTGCTTGACTTGTCACACAATGCCTTCAGGACATTCGGGACTGATGATCTCAAAGAGCTGGAGAAGCTCGGAAGCATTCGGATCCTTTTGGGTAAAAATCCCTACTCCTGCTCCTGTGAGATCCAGAATTTTGTGGCTTGGTTGAATAATTCACGGGCTCAAATAGATGTAGACTCTGTGAGGTGCATCTCACCAAAGGGGTTGACCAACAGCCAGCTCAGAGGACTTGGGTTGAGGGCCATCGGATGCATTGTTCCCACCCAAACAGAGATTAGTGACCTTAGCCTACAGACGTCGTATGTCTTCCTTGGGCTCGTGCTGGGCTTTGTGGGCATGGTCTTCCTCTTCGTACTCTACCTGAATCGTAAAGGCATGAAGAGGTGGATAATTGAAATGAGAGATGCATGTCATGATGTCATGGAGGGATATCACTATCGATATGAGATTGACTCAGATCCACGCTTGGGGCACATCTCAGCCCACAACGGCATCAGCAGGGCACGTCAGCATGTAGAAATATCTCTGTCACAGGAGCCACCAGATGACACTTGTATTGTTGCCGAAGACGCACAGGTCAACCCTCTAAAATCTACTTCTGAAGCTAGAAATGTCTTGTAGACTAGTTGAATGCCAGTAGGTTTAGTTTGTTTTTTTGTCTCAGAGCTTCTGCATGTACTGCAGCTAAACGTAATAAACTTAACCTTAAAAGTGCCTTCATGCTTAGATGGCACTGACTGGAATTTTTTTTTTTTTTTTTTACATGCAGTAACCTGTATTTTAATGGAATAGAGTGCATATGATTGTCAAACATGCAAAAATAACTTTAAATTATGTTTTGTTTTGGTGTGTTTTTATTATATCATTAGGTAACATTGTGACTCAACCACTACATTAGGTACACTTTCCAATCAAATAGGATACAATACAGTATCAAGAATTTTTGCCTTTGCAAAGATAAATCTTTGCATATCAATGTACACTTTCTATTGACATTTGCCAATGTATTAATTTGACATTAGATTTCCTATTGTGGCACTACTTTGTCTTATGCAGCAGTGGACAATAGCACTGCATCATACTGACATTGGTTTCACCATTTATAATAACTGTAAATATAATGGGCAGCACGTTGGATGCAACCTTAGTGAGGTACAAAAATGAAGGGATGGCTGGATGGATATAGGCCTTAATTAGCAAGTATTTCTATCTGCTCATTTGCCATTGAGCTTGTCCTCATTTGGGTCGCGGGTGAGCTGGAGCCTAACCTAGCTGATTTAGGCTAAGGTCAGGCTACACCCCGGACAGGTTTCCAGTCAATTATTTGGCACAAAGCAACTGTTCACATTCCCACAATGTAAGAGCGTTTAAATAACCCAAAAAGCAGTTGTTTTTTTTGTTTTGTTTTTTTATATATAGGAGGAGCAGATATGCAAACTCTCACCGACAAAGACTCAAACCCAGAGCCTCAAACCTTTGAGGCAAACTAACTACAGTTTCCTGTCATATAAGATAATCTTTGTAAAGGCCAAATTTCCGATACATTTCTTGTATGGTAGCACATGATATCGGAATAGAATTTGTTCAGTGAATTGACGTACTTTATAGAACATTATAAATCTTTAAATCTAATCATATACATATACAGTATCCTTAATGTACGTACAGCATATAAGTTTAATTAGTTTTACATCTGTAATTAATATTGCATAAAAGGCTGTTTCTGAGATACTGACATTAAATGTTAATTGCACATGAAATTAATACGTTTGTTGTAGTCTTTGTTTTTTTCTTTTTCATGGCATACTTGTTTTCCAGCGTGTGCAGCAGCAAGACTTCATGTGACTCACATTCTATTGCAGGTGGGGTAGCGCTATTGTTTTTCCATTGGATGTGAAAATGATTAAATGCTTCCATAGTGGGGAAAATAGGGCAGAATGAAAGATTTTGTTGGGAATTAATTTGCTGGCTCGGCTGTGTGTCCGCCACATTGTTGTCTGTGTTTGTGTGTATTTACAGAACGGATGAGAGCCCCCTCGCTTAATATATTGATGAAAGTTTTTAAAAGGAGTTCCTTGAAATCTCTTATGAGCGTTTTGCATCCACGTTTAACGTCTCTGTCTTCCGCTCCTCTGCGCATTAATACCCGCCCGGCGTGACGTCAACACTTACCTGAGGTAACAGCAGCCAGGGATTAGCCGCAGCCGTAGGTAGTTGCTAAACACTGAACGACAACAAATTCTACCGAAAGGACAACTCGAATGAGTCCTCTTAGAATTTTCTATGGAGGCGCCACTTCATTTTGGTCGATTTTTTTTTGTTTGGCCAGCGTAACTTGACTTTTTTGTATGTGGTCGGTTGTTTCAGTTTGACTCGCCAATAGAGAAACTTTTCTTTCTGCAACTTCCGCCCTTGGCTCCCCCATAAAAGTTAAACTCAACTGGTGACTCCTATGCAGTAAGTACACGATTTGTTTGTTGGCATTTACGAGCGAGGCGTTTGCTTGGTTTTGGCGTGTGTAACTATTTTGCCAATGATCAGGCTTATAAGGGCGGGACGAAAATGAGCCTGCATTATTACATTAAATTGTAGTAACGTCCCCACGTTACCTTTCTGCGTCCATTCAGGAGGGACTTAATTCACCACTTTCACATCTTATTTATTAAAACCATCCATACAAAAAAATTGATAGGACGCAACTGTTCCGTGTACCCACATCATCTGGGGCCGTTCAGAATCTAATAAGATGACACAAACGTAATACATGTAAATAACATAATCTATATTTACTGGAGATGCTAATTATTAAATATACTATCTGTGACGTTCACTACACTCGTCAAAGTTAACTGTAACAAGAAAAATGTTGATGTCAGTGAGGACCAGTTTACTGGCCTTTTGAGGGCAAATATGAATATGGTTATTGGTTAATGGAACAGTACACTTGGTAAAATATTTTCTTGTATTGGCCAGCGTTCCTGATTCTGAATTCCTTGGGAAGGTTGTTTGGCAGCACATAGAGACTGAAATCTGATTGGACAAAAATAATAACGAGTACGTGTACAAGAAGCAGTGCCAAGAGAACAGTTACAAATGAAGGGAATCGACTGTTATAAATTAATACATTTTAATGGAACAAATATTAAAATATAGATTGTAAGTTTAGGTCATTGCTTCTGATAATGTTTAGGCTAGCAGAGGCCTCCTACTTATACTGTATTTCTGGAATGAGTACCGGTTATGCAAATGGGTTTAACTTGTTGGAGAGCATTTTAAGAAGATGGTGTTTACATGTGTATTGTCCCCCCTCAGCGGGTCAGGGGGGTTCTGAGCCATGCCTGGCCACAGCAGTGGGGCCCCGCAGGCATCACGCCACCACAAACATCATAGTTCCAGAGCAGACAAGTACAGTCAGGCGCCGACAATATTCAGGCAAAGCACAAACAACCCAGACTCCTACAAGAATCCCTACAGAGAGCATCATCACAACAATCACTCCCGCTACTCAGAGACCAAACATGGTCGCAAAGCACACCCGCGCAACGGCGCCGGGCAGGGCTCAGAGACTATTGGCTTCATTCCAGGCTCGGCAGACAACACGCCCACCAACAGACAATCCTGTGGCTCCTGCTCCTCTATGGGCTGGAGTGGCTGTAAGGCCCTTATTTGCTGTGTATTGACCTGTGGATTTTATGGCAGCCGAGAGCCTTGCTTGCCCATTAACGAGAGCTCCACAGACCATCCCCCTAAAGCAAGTAGTGAGTCCCAGCCTCCTAATGGCATGGCTGTGACCAACTCCCCCGGTGGCAGCAAATCTTTTGAGCCCAACAAGTCCACTAAATCTGTTAAATTGTTGCCGACAAGCGATAGCTTCCGCTACCCGGATGTACGCATCGCAGGTCAGTCAGTGAGATATCCGGTTATGGCCTCCAAGAGGACCCGAACCTCGGGCCGGGGCGAGAGCCAGCGGCCCATCAGCAACACCAGTTTGTTATCACGTGAGGACTATGACTTGGATGACATGAGCGACACAGGCACGGATATTGACTCGCTTATCACCAAGAAGCTGCTGGAGCTTTATGCCTTGCATCAGATCGACCAGCTGGCCAAGTGCACCTCGGATTCGTCGTTCTCCCGCAAGACCAACGAGATCAGTGAGCTCATATACAGCATCGCTCAGGACTACAACCTTGAGGAGCAAGAGGCCGAATGCAAGCTGGTGCGCGGCGTCATCCGCATCAGTACCCGCAAGGGCAAGAAAAACAAGAGGCGTCATTCCGCCGGACAGCGTCCTAATGGGCGCAGCGATGGCACTCTGCCGGACAGTGGCAACGAGACCATGACCAACACCTTCATGAGCAGTGACTGTAAGAATCTCATATTTTCCTCATGTCATCGTAAAATAGGCAATATGACATAATGTTAGTGTTTAAACTACCGGTACTAATTTAATGACAGTGAACCCCTGTGTATCACGGGGGATACATTCCAAACCGCTTGCTTTGTGAAAACTTGCCTGCTTGCTTCAAGCCTCAAGCCATTGAGTTGTCACTCCCATTTGAAATATGCTATACTACTGAGAAGAAACAAAAGACAATCCAATTATTATATATTTAGACACTGACATGTTCAACCAAATCATAATGTCGTCTAATGAAGAACTGCTATCATAATTATATAATGAGAAGTGCCTCAGACAGGTCAGCAGAAATTAGCATGGATGTTACGGTAATAATCACCCTTCAAGCAAGTGCTTCTTAAACACACGAACAGAGTATACATCAGTTCCTACAGGCATATATATTCTCAACAAGTATCACTAAACGTTACCTTCTCTAACTCTTCTTCGTGTCCTTAATTATTCTGCATCTTTTCCAGTAGACCTCAGTGCCGCCTGGCATGTCGCAGAAACAGCATGGTATGCAGAAAGCATTCAACTCTAAATTCAGACTTGCCTGTATAGTACACAGTGAAAACCCATTCAAAAATATCAGCAATACAACAGGGATGCAAATCATAAAGTGCGAGCAACGCTACTTTCAACGGGACGCAAGACTGAATTTTCTAAATTTTTACTTTTGTGCCACTTTTGTATTGAGCAGGTAAACACTGATTGGGGGAAATGGGCCATATCAGACATCTGCTTGGTTGTAGGCATTAGCAAATGCTAAGCAGTGCACTCCATCTGGCCTGAATTACATAACTACTTAGTCAGTTAACACTTAGTTGCACCCACTTTACAAATTCTTGTCAACAATCATTTTTTTTCAACTTCTTAGATGTGACAGAGGTTTTATTTTAAAAATGTATATTTCATATTATTGTAAGCAATTTTAATACATTGCAGTTTGAATATTAACATAATTTGAATGTGGGGGGGAGAAATAATATGTAAAAATGATTTACCGGGAATTTAAATGTATTACACCTGAAAGTTAAAATGTGTACCTAAATAAAGGGTAAAATCAAACAGTACTTGAAGGTTTTATGGAAATGTATTGAACTAATACATTAAACACAACTGAACTGTCTGTGGCAGTGATTTTCGGTGTTTGAGAATGGCTAAATTGATCAAATACTAAGCCCACACAGGGTTTAAACAAGAGCTGAAGCACTTTTCTTTGGTTGAATCTCATCTCCATCACTTCACATAACCTACTTCCCATCTCCTTATAACTATGCCGTCTTTGAAATAACACATTAAGAAATACATGAACAGCAGTGGATTTTTGTTTTGTTTGTTTTTGTTCATTTGGTCTGTTCTTGTTCCCATCAATAGTTCCAGAGGTGAAAGTGTCGGAGCAGACGCCGTCGGATGAGCTGGCGAGGAAGATGAGACATTACAGCGGGAGAAGTAAGTTCCCCAAAGCCGTTGTCAAAGACAAGGCTACACAACCACCGCGTGGGTCCGCGTGCCCAAAAAAAAAAAAGATGGGCAAAAAAGGGAATGTTGATATTTGGTCCAGAATAACAACTTTTAAAAATAATTATTTTACATACAATACACCTATGTACCCACCAAACATGATTTTGGAATGTGGGAGGAAACCGGAGTACCTGGAGAAAACCTAAGCAGGCATGGGGAGAACATGTAAACTCCACAAAGGAAGGCCAAAGCCCGGAATCAAACCCTGCACCTCTGCACTGTGCGTCACGCGTGCTAACCAGATGATCGCCCAGCCTCCCGTTGAACACATGAAACATATTTGAACACACACCAAAAATACTTTGGCCTGACCGATATGGATTTTTTTGAGCCTCCAGTATTTGGTAGAGTAAAATTCCAATAACCGATTATTTGAACAAGAAATTAAAAAATATATATCCAATGAATATAATAACTTATTTTTGGGTTCATTACGTAGAAGAAAAAGTGGACATCCTGTATGTATGGCAGTAAGCAGTTGCTCTTGCTTTATTGAACCAGTTTAAAACAACTTGGAAAAAGGACTGCCTCTTTTAATATTTTGATGGTCTGATTTTTTTTTGTCGGATTTCTAAATTTTACTGTGAATAATGAATATTGCCCGGAATCTTGTTGGGGGGGGGGGGGGGGATTCAAAATTGCAATATCTGTCAGAAAAACTGTAATTCAGTCTTTTCCTGATATCATTCAGCCCCACTGTGTGCCTTTAAGAGGCAGGGCCTCCTCGTGTGAGAGTGTCTGGGTGTGAGCTGTGGCATACAGCAGCTTCTGCGCAAGTTTGGTCATTGTGTTTAGGTGTTTTACTGTTCTCCCTGCATTAAATAAAATGCTGAAAAGGTGCATTTGCGACTGTAGGTTTCCTTTCCAACATGTGAGGGGCAGGGCATGAGAGGAAGTGCATATACTGTAAAACCCCATAAGAAATTGCCGGCAGAATTCCCCCTGCGAAACTAGTAGATGTGTTACACTAAAACTCTGGCTCGGCTGGACATTGTAATACACTACAAACGCAGTGTCGATATTTTTCGCCACCCTGAACACCCCCCTGACAACTGATGCACTTTGTCATTTTTGGGGTGAATGTAACTGGTACGTGTTGCAAAGAAAGGTTGGGACCAGGCGCTTTCAGTAAGGCAAAGCTAAATTAAGCAGTGTACGATTAGTGGTTCAACCCACATGCTTATACACACTTCTTTCCTGCTTCCCAGTAACAGAGCACCCAAGTAACAGTGAACGTGCTGCATTCCTGTCTTATTCTGTTAAGGAAATTTCGTTGCACGAATGTGTAGTGACAATAAAGCAATCCATCCATCCATCCATCCATTCTGTGCGTTTTACAATCCCCTATTTTCTCGGTCACCTTACACCCACCGATCAAGCCGTGTCCACCCCTCCAGTCGAGCGGTCACATGATACCCACAGCACCAGCAGATCAAGTCCCATTAAATATATGCCAGAGGATGTTCCTGTGGTTTGTTGTGTCATTTTAGAGGCCAACTAGGATCAGATGGATTACGGTGCAGCAGCGTGTTTTTTTTTGTTGTCGCTCTGCAAGGAGGCGTGTAAAAGGTTGAGGTATCGCGTTACACGTTTTTGTCTTGCTGCCTGGGATTGTCGCCTTCCCTCTTCAACATTTGTGTATCAGATGTAAGATTGTGTATAGTGTATATAAAACCCCAATGTATAAAATAATTGTATGAAATATGACCACATGTAACAACATCACTTTTTGGGGTAATATAATTCCGACTGAAATATGGAGGTGAAAAACTGACAGTTAACAAAAAATATAACACATTTTCCTATGTGGGATGTAGGCAGCATGCTATTTTTCCCCAGTGTTTTCCCCATGCTTGCATGTTTTGTCTCCAGGTACTCCAAACTTTCTTCCACATTCAAACTACATGCATGTTTGGTCAGTTGAACACCGTTGCAGCCAGTCCAGCGATGTTAGGCCTGTGTGGAATGACCGTCCAAAACATCTTTTGATTTTGGTTTTTAATCAGTTTTTTTAACGCTTTGCGAAGGGCAATGAAATTCTTTAAAAAACGGTTTTGCTTTTAATTGTTGAAGCCACACACACACACAAAAAAAAAATCCATTGGGAAACCCCAAAATATCGTCCTTAGAAAAAAACCTTGATTAGAGTTAGCTTCCAGGTCCCCTATGAAGTGCCACAGAACACACACAGTAGAAACAGAATGGATGCATGGAAAACTCTGCGAATGCATGTGAAGCAAGTCTTGTCTTGCCACTCTATCCCACAGTACTCTGACATGTAGTATCAAAACCGCAGATTATTTTGAAATGACATACACAACCAGAAATCCCAGCTGTACTTTTAAAGATGCTTGTTGAACTAATCATCGTTGTTCTGTTGACCCCCCCTCCCTCCTCTCACACACACACACACACACACACACACACACACACACACACACACACACACGCGCGCGCGCGCGCATATTTTTGACAGAGGTGTGTCAATCTTCAACAGCAAGTGTTTCTAAGATGAGATACAGTAATAGCTGTGCGTCTGTTTCAGCATACTCCTCCAGCAGCGCCATGGTCTGTTCGCCATCCCTGCACGACACCGAGACAGACTCGTCAGGTGCTCCTCTTCTTGCGCTCTAGTGACATGGCCAAATACATGGCTGGCTTTATCCTCCCGCTTTCATTTACCGAATGCTGTTACACACTGCTGGGTGGTTGTCAGTAAAGGAGTGGAACTTCCGTTAGAAGTTTCGCTAAGGGATTTGGGAAGTTTGACATCATCCCATGGGAATTAACTGGACATTTGAATTGAATGCTTTTCCGTGCTCTGCCTCATTTAATTTTTTTGCTAGAACTCATAATACATTTTTTTAACTTTTAGTGTTACGACACACACACACACACACACACAAACACACACACACACACAAGCCAATGCAACATTTACAGTCGATCCCAGAAAAATTCCCAAATTGCCCTGAGAGGTTTAAAATTTTATATCGATGGATTTTTGCAACCCGGGTGAGTTGTAAGTCTCAATGCTGCTAATGTATGCCATGATAAATTTACCTCCCTTAGTCAACAGTTATTTCATGTACCAAGTGAGAGGTTTTATCATTATTATTATTATTATGTTACTATTATTATACCTGTTACATGTGTCAATTTGCAGTGTCATGATTGAAAAAGATGAATGTCTACACTCCAGGCTGGTTTGACAGTTACAGCACATGAGTGGTCGAACAGAATGACCTGAAGGCTTATACATGTGATTGTTCAACTTTTGTCAGGGCTCAGTGACTCAGGCCTTTTCAAAAACACTATCATGTTTTGACTAAAGGATTCAGCCATATTTCCTCGTAAATATTTCTCAGTTACTTTTTGCTTTGTTAACCCACTTGTGGCATTTGAATGTTTTTTTGGTTGTTTTTTTTTTTTTTTTTTTTTTTTTTTTAAATTCAGTGGTGAGTGCTATTTTGAATAAGGTAAAAATCTCCATTCCCTTTGTTTCATGTTCAATAAAGATGTATATTTGTATATGGTTGTAATTGTTTTTTATCTGCATGTGAATTAAGATGCTCATATGAGTTGTGTATTGCTTCCATTAAAGAAAAACACATTTATGCGGTTAAAGTGTATAGGGGATGGGCAAAGTATGGCATGTGGACCACCTACATGAGTTTTTTTTTTTTTTTTTTATCTGACCCACTCAGTATTTGCATGATCAAGAGTCTTGTATTTATTTCTGTTTTTTGCCAAAACGTGGTTATTTAAAAGTATGTATTCATACATCTCATTAAACAAGAAAAAGTGTTTTCCATAGTTTTTTTATAAACCTCGTCTATGAATGACCCATGGCCCCTTTGTCTTTAAAAAAAAAAAAAAATGTGTTCCTGAAGTAGCGAAGTCTGGCCATCCCGGTGTAAGATATATTTCAACAAGGTGACGGTCATGTCCAGGTTTTTTTAACGCTCTTCAGTCTACTCTACCTCTTTTTGTCACTTTGCATTGTTTTTTGTCATCTCTCTGAGGCGACAATGATGCGAAAGGTAGGGTTTTTCCGCTTTGAGCAAAAGCAGGAACTTGTTTGGCTGGTTCTGAAAAAATAGGAAATCAAATCTTAGGGGTTGTTTTTTTTTTTTTTACTGTGGAGTTGCAGTGCAGAGTGCGGCCTGATTTGTTGTTATTCTTTTTTGGTTGGGTAGACTTTTATTCAATGTTTTTTTTCTAATATATAGTATTTAAGGGTTCAATTTGGGAATAAAGATGAATAATTTCTGCCTACCTGAGTCAAAACACAAGTGATTAAACCATTCTTCAGTTTTTTGCCATAACAACAATAAAGAAAAACACTGTGCACTGGACTTCAGGAGTGTATTTTCACCCCCTCTGCCTAATGTTGTCATGACTTGCTTTTGTGTCACCCTGTTTTCTCTCTGCCCTCATCAGCACATTCCTGTTTTACCTGTATGAGCTGTCAGAAAGAAGGTCTTTCACAACGAAGATTACAATGGCTCCAACCACAAAACCAGGCTCCTTTCAAATTATGATGTGGAACACTTTTAGGTACGTGTCATTTGCACATCGATTGCAAGATTACACGATTCCTTTTAAGCAGAGTAGCAAGAGAGAACGCCTCAACGTTTAACTCATTGATAGGTAATTTCCACTTGTATCCACTAGAGGGAGACACAGTACAGTAAACCTACATGACTCGCCATGTAGGAAACAAGTGTTCTATAGCTTTGGAAATGTGACAGTGCGTATAAGCAGAGGTATGAAAGTGTGTTCAAACCAAATTAGAAATGACACAAGACAAAAAAAATCATATTAATTGTTGTTGATGAAATTACGTTTACTTGTGCAAGTTATATGTAGCCAATTTAAAATCTATACATTAGCGTTAGTTGGTTACAATGCTAGAGGTTGTGATCGACGTTACCGGGATCAAGCAAGTATAGTTGTTCTGTATGGTGATTGACAGGCGCATCTTAATACATTGGAATATTGACGAGAGGTTCATTTATTTTAGTAGTTTCATTCAAAAAGTAAATTTCGTAAGATACAATGATTCACTCGGTTCTAAAAAATAACGTGGTTTCTCAGGTAATTGTAAGTACTGTATACTTGAAATGTTGAATTTGAGCTTTTCTTCAGCGTATGTCATCATCAAAATTGTTTTCACAGTAAAAAAATCTTTAACTCTGTGTGTAGTGACACAACAATATATATGACTTTAACTTGAAAATTTATTTTGAGATGATTAATTGAGATCAACCTGCAATTATTTGCGTGCCATTAAATTTGGATGTCATGCTGCTTAAGTTTAAACATTCAACATTTTGTAACACTTAAACATTGTTAAATCAATAGTTTCTAATCTTTGTAGAGCCTGACCTGAATGAAATATTATTTGCCCTTTTACTTTGATGCATGCAGATGTTCTTCCCAAAAACAAACAGCCATTTTACTGAGTCGTGCAGGCAGGCTGCCTCCTCATGACTGTCCTTGAGGATGGAAAATGTAAGAGCAAAAACTCAACATAAATGAATGCAAATTTACTGGGTAAACATACTGCACTTTGAAACAAACTCCAAAAGACCAAAACAGCGTTCATGTACAAAAATAGATTTAATTGAATTGTTCTGTCAAAAAAAAAAAAAGGTATTTACAATAGACCTAACATAACAACAAAAGGGAGGACATTAAGACAACTTTTTGTAATCATAGACAACTAAATCTCTGTGGAGATGAAACAGTTCCTGCTGTCTGCTTCCATTTAAGAAAATGTCATTAAAATGTCTTCTACCTGCCAAAGAGCATGTCCACTAGAAGCTCCAACAGGTCAGCTTGGCCGATTACAGGCCGGAATAAGAGTTCAACGATTAGACTGGGTGTGATGCTTTGCAGCATAGAGGCCGTGAGGAGGATGCGGGCGAAACGGTCCTGCCGCCTGGGATGGAGTAGCTGGACCACCTCGCTCAGGGCGTGCTGTGCCTCTTGTTGCAAGCCCTCGATGAACAGAGATGCCTTTAGATCCGGGATGTCTATTGGACGCAAAGACATTAAGAGTCTGCTTTTCAAGACATCGTAAAGCAAATGCGCGCTGTATCTCGGTTGCACATACCTGGGTTAAATATTGTCGTCCCTTTAAGGTATGCGTATTCCTTTGGACTCAAATCTAAGCTCCAGAATTTTCTGAGACAAGACTTGAGTTTGCTGACGCCAGCAATGGTGGGCTGCTCCCTGTCCATCTCAGTTCCCCCCTCACGCCGCAGAAGAATCTTCTTCAGCATGCTGTCGGCCGGTACGTCGGCCACCTCAAAGTCCACGTGCTCCTGCGCCAGGCCCAGAATGAAGAGCGGCACCCAACAGTTTTTGAGGAGTATGTACTGGTCATTGGGTGGAAGCTGCTTGAAAGCAGGTAGATTCTTCATGAAATGGACGGTTTTGACCAAAACCGATGAGGCTTCCTTGCAAATTTCCAATGGTCTTTTTAAACACACCGTTCGGCGTAGCTCACAGTTGCATCGATGAGGTATTGAATTATAGTCGTGTAGGCTCAGCCTGGTGTTATCTAATTGACTGAGAATGTTGAAGAGGATAGGATTCAACAGTCTGTCACTGCTGCACCGGCATCGGTTATCCATCATGGAGAGGCTTTTCTGGAGTGAGGCGCTCTTGCCTCCGCCACGTCTGTATTTATAAGGCCACCCAAGTGGACCTTGACTTGTCAATACACACTCCGTGAAAAACAGCCATGTGCTCTCTGCCAGGTGACTGGTGGTATAACCCTGGGAAACTGATAAGCTTTTCTCAATGAAAAGGAGCTGGTGGAGTAACGTCTGGATATCAAGAGGGCTCGGCCTTATCTTGGGGTCTGTGTCATGAACCCAGGCCGTACCAAGCTACCAAGGACTCCGAAGGTAATCAAGACAAATTCTGATGGGTCCCCACATACTGCCAGCTCATACTTGGCTGGAGCTGAGGAGGCCAACACAGGGCAGTGGGGCACTGACCCAGAAGTTAAATACTCAGGATGATGTCATTGGTACATTTTTGTAATCGTTGCAGCAAAACCTCTGAGACCTACAACCCTACCCGCCTTGCCAAATTTGTTTTAGTTTAAGTCATAATCATATATATGTGTCAGTTCAGTGTCTGAGTGATTATTGTTACCTCACAGCAAGTATGTTCTGGGTCTCAGCTTGGTTCTTTTGATAGTTCGTTATGGACCCCATATGTCAGCCATTCCCAACTAGGGTCCCATGGGCACAATCCCGTGACTGCAATTATATCAGTTTTGTGTTCAGTTAAACTGGCCCCGATATCACACTAAGTTGGTTTATGAGTACATTAAGATAAAATATTTTATATTTCAGTATGCATACTTTTTAATGAAATGTTTATATTGCAAAATCTTTCTATTCTATAATGGGCGCCTTAGCTCAATGAAGTTTGGGAGACACTGCCATAGACAGGCAGATTTTGAAAACGTGCATACTACAAATTTACAAGAAATGTAATACATCTGATCTAGTACTTAAGATGAAACCTAAAACCACCCCTCATGTCCATGGCACACCTGTTCCACAGGGTGAAATAAATCAATGAAATCTAAGGAATTTCACTCTATGCCGTCTTTTTGTGTTTTAGGTGGTCATTCATTTAAGGTAAACCCATATTGTTATCGCCGCTGTGCCTGGCACGGAGGCTTGACGCTGATAAGAAGATGACTTTATTATTGTCACAAATAAACAAACAGATGGATTTCAATGACTCATTTTATGTTTCCTTCTCCCTGAGCTGCCACCTTATCATGATGAAGGGGTTTGTACATCACAATGATCCAAGGAGCTACACTTTGTTGCCTTAACTGGCGTTGACAGCTCGAGGAAAACAGTCTCACAGGTGTGCGAGCAGACAATGGATAATTCACAAACCCTTTTTGACAATCATGTTTTCTCTTCTTTGGAGAGAGATCACTGAGCCCAATCTCTGAAGACAGACATGGAGATGAGACTGGCAGGAATTCCTGGATAGGCTCACACCTAAAGCCAACACATCCTTTTCTAGTCAGGTGTCTGATCAGACTAGGCAAGCACAACATTACAGCAAATGGTGGCCAGAGGTGAATCATTCTTTTTCATACAGTCCACAATCAAGGTGCCATGAAATGAAATTCACAAATATCCGGAACAATGCCCATCACACGCAACATCAAGTACGAACAACTTTTTGCTGATTTTAATTGACTAATAATGAATGCCTTTTTTTCCATTGCTTTGCTTTTGTGTAGCATCTCATAGTCTACTTCTATCTCATGCACTAATTTGCTCGTTAACAGTCAATCAGAGTGATCAATTCCCACAGACAGCCTACGCCATTTTGCATTGTGCCAGTAATGACTCATTCATTCAAATCATATCTTTAGAAGCACAATACACAAACATCTCTTGCTTCTTCACAATTGAAAATATTGATTTTTACTTCGGTTTGTTCCTGTTTTTATAGTATAAATGCGTGTGCAAAATTGGCCGATTTGTATATTTTATGTAACGGAACCATGACTGTGGATAGTATGATAAACAATGACTTTTTATTTATGCTATTTGTTTGCTAACATGAGAATGTTCTGACTGAAATGACAGCTGGTGGGAGGGATGGATGAATGAAATATAAATTAATTAAAGCACAGATGTTAACCCATAAGAGCCCAGACCCATTTTTCCAAAAGGTTTTGATGGGTTAAAATCAGACAAAAAGTTTTGAAAAAAGATACTGGGGAGTTCAAACTGTTTGTTACACTGGTGTCACCGTGGGCTCTTATGGGTTAAATTCAAGGCCTCTGGGCCACCACATCATTTTATGTGGCCTGTGAAAGCCAATCAAGCATGTCAACTTGCATGATGCTTCCTAAAATCCATACCAAAATTTAAAATGATCATATGTAATAAATTACAGATGTTGTCAGTATTTTCCCGTTACCAAACCCTCATTACAGTCACTTAAATAGTTGAAGAAACTATTATTCTTGACTTCTTGATATGGTTTCACAGTCATAATGGCCCTCCAAGGGAAATGACAACTACAATGTGGCCCGCGACAAAAAATGAGTTTGACACCTCTGAACTAAAGGCAGATTCCACTTAAAATTACATTCAGATCATTTGTCTCTTTGTACTTTAAATGCAGTCCACAGTTTTAAGTAACTAGTGGCCGTGTATCAGGGATAACAATGCGCCATTCATGTGAAAACGGCAGAAAAGTCACAGCATCAAAATCTTCCCCTAGGTGTGGGGGGTGTCTGGAGACTGACACAAATTGGTTGCCAGCCAATGGCAGAGATGGCGAAAACAAGTGAAAAGTGAGAATCTCAGTTATTTGGGAGGGGCTCAGAATGGAGCCACTGCGCCACGCCATGGAAAGGTGCAAGACGAGGTGGCTTGGGTGTCTGATTAGGATACCTACTGCATGTCTCCCTGGTGATGTGTTCTCGGCACGTGCAACAGGGAGAAGGCCCTGCAGACAGCTCAGGAGACGCTGGAGAGAGTATGTCTTCTGGTTGCCTGGGAACATCTGGAAGAGCTGGATGAAGTGGCTGGGGAGAGGGACTCCTGGGATTTCCTATTTTTACCGTGGTGCTCCTTTGACCCAAAACCAGAAAAGATGAGAGGGAGAGATGATATTTTTTCCACTCATGCCTCACTTTTCTTTCACCCAATCTCTGTTTAAAACCTCACAGATTACGACAACATTATTATTATTATTATTTTTAAATTAATCAGAAAATAACATGAAATTGGCATAGTAACCTTCATGGAGTCAAGGTCAGTTGAAGCTGTTAATAAGTGTTATTAAAAGCCTAAATATCATCTACCTCATGTTTGTTGTAGTTCATTAGCCTCTTCAATCATTCCGCCAAAGAAAATGTCAGAATCTTGACAAATCATATCAGCCTTATGCAATTCATTTGAAACTGTGTGTTTCCACCAAGTGTAGTGCTACAGTTCAAAACAAAGGGCTGTCACTTGAAATGGAAAAAACACACGTCCTTAATGCGTTTCTTGAAATGCCCTACAATACACTCTGCAGCCATCGGGTTTGATCAAGCATGCTGACAATTGTAAATGTCTGTGATAAGACGCTTGTTTATAGACGTTGGGATCAGGCAGAGACGGACACGGAGGACAGACGCTTATCTGCTCCCTGACTGTAAAGTTTAAATAAAAATGTCCTTCATTCTATAAGTGGAGCAACTGCTGAAATCGGTGTGATTAAGGAAGTGAATATACAGTATTCATGTGAGTAGATGCATTACACAATGGCTGGCACTGAATTGCCTAGTTATATTTTATTCCAAACAAGAAATAAGACACATATAATATTGTCAAATACATGTAGTGTATTTATGAATGTACAGTTTATTGTTTTTCAAAGGAGCAATGGGGTCAATGAACTCTTGTTAGTGCACGATGATGTGAACGCAATGTCTAGGACTTGACACTTCACCTTGGCGTACTGTTGTGACAAAGGGTCATTTGCTTGGCTCCATGCCCCCACCAGGTCAGTAAGGCAAAGGGGACCAAGAGGCGCGGTTGGGGGGATTCCATTCCGTTAATAATGACAATAAAGGCACAAATTTATATTTGCAAATTGAAATGCAAATCAGAATTCCAATCATCAAAAACATTTGGTGTTGTCGTTTTGGCTTGACTTTCCATTATTTCTGTGTGGAGGTTCACATAATTATTTCCCCATGCGGGTTTTTTTGCTTACATTATGCTATAACAAATTAACATTGCTATCTATGGTCATGAAATGATAAATAAAACCTCTTCTACCTGCATCTACCCAATCGTTCCAGTTTCACCATTCAAATTGGTTTTGGTGCAAGTTATGAAATTGAAGTTTATTGGACATGCTTAATAACTAACTTTGGACTTCGAGAATTTATGTTAGTTGTGACTAATGCACAAGACAAGCGTGATGCAGTGTAAATGCTCTGTAGTGATGTCAGGGTCCAGACACATGAGTACATTTTTACTGCCTATTACTATCAAAACACACCGATAAACGCCAAGGTGAAGGCCAAGCACAGTGTTAGCCGCTGGGTTAATGAACTCTGGTAGAATACATTTCTTGGTCATCTTTTTGAAAGACAGATAGAAAAAGGAAATACAAAAACATATATATAAATGAACTTTCAACAAAATGTTAGCTTACAGTATATCTAGTACAGTATTGTTTTAAAATGACGGGTTAACATTTCCAAAATGTTGAACATTTTCACTGGAACTTTTGCCCCTCAACGCCAAAATGACAGACTACCCAAAGGCAAATACTATTTCACAGCACTGTATTTTATGTTAAATGTTCTATGAAGGCCTTTGTTGCAGATACAGCTGTTGTGGGAGCGCCATAGAAATAAATATGTATTGTCTGGATTGGATTGGGGCAGCCCGGCGGTCGAGTTAGTGCGTCGACCTCACAGTGCAGAGGTTGTGGGTTTGATCCCGGCTCCAGCCTTCCTGTGTGGAGTTTGGATGTTCTTGCCGTGCCTGCGTGGGTTTCCACCAAAATTCCCAAAACATGCATGGCAGCACTCTAAATTTTCCTTATGTGCGATTGTGAGTGCTGATGGTTGTTCGTCTCTGTGTGCCCTGTGAAAGTCTGGCAACCAGTTCAGGATGTACCCCACCTACTGCCCAAAGACAGCTGGGATAGGCTCCAGCACACACGTGACCCTTGTGAGGATAGAAAATGGATGGATAAATAAATAATTATTACAGTGTGGTCAATCACATGGTTGTGCTGCATTTGTTGAAAGTGGGAAATCGGATTGTCCCAGTTCTGACCTCAAAGTGTTCGAGACGAATGTTAACAACAAAGATGGCTGATTCCGATAAATTGTTTGTTGTTCTGGTTCATCACAACACATTTGGCCTCCAGCAAACCTTCTTCATAATGTACTTTATTTATATAAATGACATAATATCTTCCCTTCAAAGCATTTCATAAAATAACTTCATGCAGGGAGATAAAGGCATATCTTCACGAAGTCAGTACAAATCACGTGGTGTAACGTGAAGTTAGTTCGAATAACCAAATAAATGTAATAAATAAATAAATAACTGAATGAATGTTTATAATCTTGTGCATTTTTCCATTTTGGTCTGTATGTCCCATGGGTCACCATTTAAGAGTGACGTTCCATTGAAGTCGGGCGGTAAACTCAGGGTCCTTTTTTTCCGACTTCACATCCCAGCTCATAGTAGCGTTTTAGTGCACGTTTTCTCGTCAGACTTTCCACCTTCCTCGAATACCGTAGTGCGTCATATCCGGTTACTGGGTTTACACGGAAGTGTCGTCATTTCATCGTGTTTAAAATAAATATTGACGAAAAAAACATGGCGGACATACATGGCGTCTTTTTAGTTGTCAGCAACATTCCTGCTGCTTTTCACTCGGCGGACCTCCGGAATTATTTCAGTCAGTTCATTGAGAGTGGGGGCTTCATCTGTTTTCATTACCGCCACCGGCCAGAGGTGCACCGGGAATCTCAAACGTGTGGTGACAGCGAGGAAGAGGGCGATAAGTCGTCCGGTAGTAGCGACCTAGCATCAGTAGCGGCTAAAGACAACTGCAGCAAAAAGACTAAGCAGGCAGCCAAAACTTGCTGTTGTGTCGTCTCCGTTCACAACAAACACGCCGACAGATTGGTGAGAATGTACGCAGGAAACCATTGGATCGACTCCAAGGGCAACTGGCTGTCCAGAAGATGTGTCATTAAAAGAGTGAAGGTTTCACAACACAATGGTAAGTTAGTCTTGTTTTTCCCGCAAATGTGTAATGACGAGGTGAGATCATTCACAGTAAGATAATTTGTTTGAATTGAAGCCACCTCAAGACATAAAGAGCATTAATCAGTGCTCACAAATGCGAATAGACGTGTGAAACCGTTAAACAAGTTACAACTGAGCAATTTGTTGGTTCGTGATGAAATTTAGTGTGAAGCAATCGAGTAATTTAAACAACAAAGTATAGCCATGCATGAAGTGAACTTCGTCGTCCTGGGAGCTATTTCTAATGCTTTTTAATTTATGTTTTACATTAATTTACTCTACCTATTATAATCCTAAAAGGGGAAATTCGACTAATAACAACTGCAATAATAATTATTATATTTCCTTGCACCTTTCAAGGGAACCAATGTGGCATTTTGCCTATTTTATATTTTATTGGAACATTACCCCTCTGCATAAATACAAGCAAGTCAATTTGACTTAAACAAAATGGTATCTAAATAAAATGTTTAAAAACAAACATCTAACAGATTAAAGGTTGAGTCAGTGATTCCGAATTACAAATAGTCCTTATTGTAATGCAGTGCGGTTCTAAACCACGCTAGTGTAAACTCTTTACACACTGCAAATCACCACAATCATGAACACACACACACACACACACACACACACACACACACCATAAATATATATTATATATACCGTGTATCTATATATATATATTAATCAAAACTGAGCATTTTCCTATGTGAAAAGTCTCTTGTGTACCACCATTTATTGCAATCAACTCACAAGCTTTTTCTTTCTTTCCAGATGAGAATCAGTTCCCGTATAAGACGAGGTTTGAGCAGCGACACCGGATGTCCCAAACTGAACACTTCACCTTGTCCGACCTCAAAACCTTATCAGAACTTAATCCACCCGCTCTGATGCAGAATGGGAATGTGGGCACATCAGTCAAAGTTTTCCTACAGCTCATCCAGTCGTGTCGGCTGCCTCCCCGCCTCATCCGCAAACTGGGCCTTAAGTTCCCTAAAACTGGCTCCAACCGTCGCTATGGCAACGTGCCTTTTCAGTACCTGGACACTTGCACGCTACCGGCCACAGAAGAGACTGTTTTAACAGCCGCTGGCCATGAGATATCGGGACCAGGCACTTTGGCCGCTCGAACATCAGCACGGAGAAATCTGGATGACTGCTGCAAGACAACTGAGAATGATGAGCCACAAATAGATGAAGAGGAGGACATGCAGTCAAATGAAGATGATGTAAGCTCAAGACTTCAGTATTTATTATGTATGCTGAATTTGAAATGCATCCTTCTTTTCATGACGACTCCCAGAAGCACATCGAAAAGTCCAATGTCCGTTTTATGAGGCTGGTCAACTACCAATTTGTTTAATTTCGTAACAATTTGGAACAATGTGGATCAGTGCACTCATGGTTAGCTTGTCTGCTTTACATTTCTCATTTTTGGGATTTGAATCTCAGCTCCTGCCTTCCTTTTTCGGGTGTTCTTTCTCCCCATTCGGGCTTTCTCAGGATACTCTGTCTTTCTCCCAATTGAAAAAGTCAACCAACCGAGTGAGGACAATGAGAATAGAAAGTTGATTGATGAATGCTTCAGCTATAAGTATTCCCTATTTAGCTAATTAGATCAGACAGCAGCACAGTGCTGCTGTCTGATCTAAATTTCAGGAAAGTCCACTTTCATCTCTGCATTATGTAAAACACACACACACACACACACGCACACACAATAAGTTGTGATTTTAAACCAATTTAAACCAACCAATCTCCCTGTCAAATAAATGATTTGAACATTGTTATGTGTTGGAAGTTGTCATTCATCCAGATCCACATTTTACAACAGTAAAAATTACGTTGAATTCCATTTAACCTGTGCAGACGCTTATATATATCTCAAATTTAATCTGATTGAAAACGGCCATCTAAATGTTGGCCAGAAATTGTAATGTACAGTATAATGAAATATATTATGCTGAGCTGATCCAGATTGCATTCCAGTTCACCACAAATCTCTCGTTTGATTGCAGGATGATGACTGCTGTGAGGAGTGGGAGCGTCATGAAGCATTGCATGAGGATGTGACTAGCCAAGAGCGAAGCAAAGAAAGGCTATTTGAAGAAGAAATTGAGTTGAAGTGGGAAAAAGGCGGTTCGGGTTTGGTGTTCTACACTGATGCCCAGTACTGGCAGGAAGAAGAAGGAGGTAAGCACAACATTGATGATACTGTTTGTATCTACTGTGGCATCTTGACTTATGAGCAACCCAACCTGCGAGTGTTTTTTGACATAAACTGATTATTTGGCTTTGTTGTGGGCAAAAAAGTAAGATGTGAGCGCTTAGATTGTGGCAGTGAACTTGGCAACAAGCAGCAATTTGGAAGATTGTGAGTAAATCTTGAAATAATAGGCTGAGTGCTAGCTTCAAGCAGGTTATTGCCTACCCCTGTTGAAATTTGCTGTTGAACTAAACATAAAACAAAGATAATTAGACATGTATCGAACCTAACTGCCTCATATATGTCCACTGGCCCAGTGTTTTTCAAAAGATAAATAACTCGGCGATGCGGTCGAGCAAGAGAGGAGAGTGAGGGTGACCTGCGCAATGAGTAAATCGTTAAGGAATGTAAAAGTGGGGCGCTGTTAAGTGATTTACAACCCGTTAAATGTGATGGTGTTTGAAGAGAGGGTTTCTATGCCTTTTTTTGTGTGTGTCCATGAGAGTTTAGTGGCATTGCCATTTAATGTGTAGTGCTCATTTATTGGTTACGTTTAAGTCCTCCTGCTGCTAACAATGGACGTGCACTGATGTTAGCATTAGCTGGTGCTAAATTGGCCAGGGGCATGATGTCATTCATGCCTGTTAACCTCATTTACTTTGTCCTATATCTGTGAGGCATTTGCATACAAGTTTTAGTCCCCGCTGTCTACGAGTTTGTTTTTCTGACTTTTTTTCTCAACGGTCATTCTCATCACTGAGAGTAATAATTAAACAATACTAACAGGCATATTTTCTTTATCCTCAGCAAAAAACAACTTGTGATTGCAGCTTTTGACAGTGTTCTGTTACATCAGTGTTTTTCAAACTTTTTTTGAGCCAAGGCACACTTCTTTCATTGAAAAAATCTTGCGGCACACTACTAGCTGAAAATGTGAGAAAAAAAATCGCTTATTTTAACAATGTGTTGTTACTATAACCGTTTTTAACATTGAATAATGACGTTATAACAGCTTGAATTGGAATCAAATGAGCACAAAGAAAAAAGTATTTCATAATCTTTCATATTATTTCACTGACGTCCTGTATTCATGCGGCACAAATTCGCTTGTCTCGAGTGGTCGAAACACAAGGCAATTGGCTAGCTGTTGCTGCTCCCTAGCGGTATGGGAGGGTACTACATGATTACTTTCTGGGCGATAGACCGCACAGGCATACAAATTGGATATTTTACCGCGGCACACCTGGCGCGGCACAGGGTTTGAAAAACACTGTGTTACATCATCAATCCTGTTTATGTTATTATATTGCCCTCTGGTGGCCAAGACACAAACATCTGACACACAACGCTTATTGAATTGTTTGATTCTTTAAATTATGTATAATTATCATACTACATTGTGTTTTTATAAAGTACAATACTGTAGAGTGTTATTTTTATTATGAAAAACTGCTTATTTTGCCTGTTAACCTCATTTACTTTGTCCTATATCTGTGAGGCATTTGCATACAAGTTTTAGTCCCCGCTGTCTACGAGTTTGTTTTTCTGACTTTTTTTCTCAACGGTCATTCTCATCACTGAGAGTAATAATTAAACAATACTAACAGGCATATTTTCTTTATCCTCAGCAAAAAACAACTTGTGATTGCAGCTTTTGACAGTGTTCTGTTACATCAGTGTTTTTCAAACTTTTTTTGAGCCAAGGCACACTTCTTTCATTGAAAAAATCTTGCGGCACACTACTAGCTGAAAATGTGAGAAAAAAAATCGCTTATTTTAACAATGTGTTGTTACTATAACCGTTTTTAACATTGAATAATGACGTTATAACAGCTTGAATTGGAATCAAATGAGCACAAAGAAAAAAGTATTTCATAATCTTTCATATTATTTCACTGACGTCCTGTATTCATGCGGCACAAATTCGCTTGTCTCGAGTGGTCGAAACACAAGGCAATTGGCTAGCTGTTGCTGCTCCCTAGCGGTATGGGAGGGTACTACATGATTACTTTCTGGGCGATAGACCGCACAGGCATACAAATTGGATATTTTACCGCGGCACACCTGGCGCGGCACAGGGTTTGAAAAACACTGTGTTACATCATCAATCCTGTTTATGTTATTATATTGCCCTCTGGTGGCCAAGACACAAACATCTGACACACAACGCTTATTGAATTGTTTGATTCTTTAAATTATGTATAATTATCATACTACATTGTGTTTTTATAAAGTACAATACTGTAGAGTGTTATTTTTATTATGAAAAACTGCTTATTTTGTGTGTGTGTTTTTTGCGGGGGTGGGCTGGAACAGATTAGTGGCATTTCTGTTCATTTTAATGGGGATAGATGATTTGAGGTGTAACTGATTTGCGTTCTGAACGTGATCACGGAACAAATTAACCTTGTAATCAAGTTACCACCAGACATGAAGCTCTTGATACAAGTAAAAAAAGACTAACAACTTTTGTCTCATTCTGTCCAACTGTTTTCAGATTTTGACGAGCAAACAGCAGATGATTGGGATGTGGACATGAGCGTCTACTATGATAAAGGTATTTTGGCTTGGTTGACTTCAAATTTTTATCACATTTGTCCCACAAGTACTCTCGAAGTGTATTTAACACAAACACAATTTCTTAAACTAACATCATCTTTTTTCCAGACGGTGGTGACATGGATGCCCGGGACTATGTCCGGATGCGACTGGAGAAAAGGCTTAGGGATGGTCTTGAAGATGGATCTGCACACAATCATGCCATTGGGAGTTTTGAGAGGTTCACTAAGGTATGAGATTCAACTGCAATTTATGCCCAGTTGTTTGCTGTAGAATTTTACGTTTTACTAATTTCTACTGCTTGGTTAGGGCTTTGGCCGCCGCGTAATGGAGAAGCAAGGCTGGAAGGACGGTGAAGGGTTGGGAAGCAGTCAAGCTGGGATTCCTGATGCCCTAGAGAATGAAGGCAAACATCCACACTGCAAACGCGGGTTTGGGTAAGTTTCAAAATAGAAAGTGATGAACCTCTTTCTTTCTTATTACTCATTGTACTCATTGTGTTTATTCTACAGCTATCATGGTGAAAAGCTACCCCTAATTCCTGGTAAAAAGGCCAGAAGAAACTTCCATATAAGTACAATCTATGATGAACCCAAGGACGTTGATATGGGGGACTCTTTGCTCAGACGCCAACCAAACATCAGCATGAAATACAGAGGCTGGCAGTCTGGAGGCAGCGTTGGGCCACGGAGATGACAAATGCTGTGTATTTTTGTTTGATGTGAGAATGAATGGTTGTTGTCTATGTATGCCAGTTCAGGGTATACAGCGCCTCCCTCCAAAGACAGCTGGATGGGCTCCAGCACGCCCGCGACCCTTGTGAGAATACGCCGTTCAGAAAATGGATGGATGGATGGATGGATGTGTGAATTTTGGCAGCATTCATTACATGTTAGTCTTATTTTCTAAGCCTTACATAATTAAAATTGAGTACCCTCACTGTTTTCCTGTGGTGTTATGTATTATTATTTTTAATGATACATTACATGATTCCATTTTTTTAAACAGGGATTACACAGTCACACAAGTACAGAGAATTGTACTGTCAAGAAAATGTTGGCAGGCCTCTGAGCAGTTTAAGTGAACTGTTGGAGTAGACGCACAGGTCTCAAACCCTGGTCCTCAAGGGTTATACAGTATATGTAAATGTAAAGTACTGTAAATGAACACTTAAAAGCACTCTGATTTTATTTTGAAAATCCTATATACAGAAACTGGTGTTACAAAATAAATCTGAGGAGTGCTTTCGATTTTTTATTCGGCCGTAAACCTTTTTAAAAACTTTGCAATACAGTAACTGAGTGGTTTACACATCTGCCTCACAGTTTCAATCTCGGTTCCATGCTTGGTAGGTAGAGTTTGCACGTTCTCACAAACCGTTCTCTCCACGTTTGTGTAGACCTTGTCCACATACTTTACATTTTTTTTTTTTTTATAAATTCTGCATTCTATTGTGTTCTGTTAGATAAAATGGATCAATTGTATTACAATTATGTGCGGAACAAAATCTATTTTATTTAACTATTAATCATAAATCCATAATACATCCCATCTAGTTAAAATATTAAGTTTACAGACGGAGTATAAGGCAAATGTATCTGTACTTACTGACAAAAGATTGACAGCACTTTTCAATAGGCTTTTATTTTGAATCTCATGTTTAGGTGACCCGGATGTATTCGACGTTAGCACGGCGGCTAGTTGCTAGGTACGTAAATACTGAACGGCAGCAGGTGGCCACTGTGGCCTGAAGCTGGGAGTTCCTGCATCCTTTAACTTCGCAACTTATATACCAGCCTTTATTACTAGTTTGTCAGTGTTCCCTACGCATCTAAATGATTATTTCCGGTGTATATTTGACTGGTTAGTCTTTGTTGACTCGTTTTGCGTCTGCTTTTTACTAAACATACCGCAACGGTAAATTATCGGGATGTCACTTTGAACCGGATCACCGGTTCTTACCTGATTGGATGCATTAAAAAAGTTTTTAAAACATAGTAACGGCACGTGTTCTGGCTACGGCATGTCTGCGCACAAAGGAGAAAACAATTTCCTACGTTTCGGCCAGGTTGTGATCGGACCGCCTGGTTCTGGGAAAACCACGTACTGCAAGGCCATGCAAGAGTTCCTTACCCACCTCGGACGCAAGGTAGTTGTGGTAAACATGGACCCGGCTAATGATGGACTTCCGTACTCTTGTGCCGTGGATATCTCCGAGTTGGTTACTTTGGATGATGTCATGGACGGCCTGAAGCTGGGGCCCAATGGCGGGCTTCTCTACTGCATGGAGTATGTGGAGGCAAACCTGGACTGGTTGGAAAATAAGCTGAAGGAACACCTGGACTGTTACTTCTTGTTTGACTGCCCCGGGCAGGTGGAGCTCTACACACACCAGAATTCAGTGAAAAATATATTCTTGCAATTGGGAAAGTGGAATTTCAGGGTGAGTCCATTCAGCCTGAGCTTCTTTTGTTCAACTCATGATACCAGTCATGCCAGTGATGTAGAGTGACAGGCAGAAACATCAAATGCTCTTTCACTAGATTGCAAAGGATCAAATTAACCCGTCGTTTATCTGTTGCCATTCATGTATTTGAATAATAGCTTTATGTTCAGGCAGATTTTAGACAAGTACTATAAATGTGTGTGCTTATTGAGACAAGATCATTACATAAACGTTTTCTAATTTAAGTGTTCCTTGGCTCATCAAAGGTTGGGGAACACTGCATTAAACATCTTAAAAGTTGGTATGGCATCTGAAGTTATCAGATGTAGAGGTCGCTTTTCTTTTTTTCCTTTGTGTTCAGCTAACATGCGTGCACCTTGTGGACTCTCACTACTGTGCGGACCCAGCCAAATTCATCTCTGTCCTGTGCACCTCGCTGTCCACCATGCTACATGTTGAGCTCCCTCATGTCAACATCCTCTCCAAGATGGACCTAATTGAGCAGTATGGCAAACTAGGTAGGACAAAAAGTTTGTTGTGGAGGTATTCTTGTGAAAAAGCAAAATACCAATGAGCAGTGTGTAAGAACTGTTAAACCTCGGAGCTTGAACTGAGGTCATAAAATATCCATTCATCCATTTAGCATAGCGCTTATCATCATTAGGGTCGCGAGCGAGCTGTGGGCAGCTGAGTTTTGGTGTACCCAAGACTGGTTACCAGCCAGTCACAGAGTACATATCAACAAACTATCATTCACACTCACCCCTAAAGGACATTTAAGGATATCAAATGACCTCCCATGCAGGTTTTTTGAGTGTGGGAGGAAGTCGGAGTAAAACCACATAAGCACACAGAAAACCTGCAAATTCCAGACAGGAAGACAAGAGCTGAGATTCAAACCCCAAACCTCACAACTGTGAGGCAGATGTGCTGACCACAAGACCCACCCAGTATTGATGATATTTGTGAAGCTCAATTATATTGATTTTGTTTTTGATTACCGTAATAGCATCCCGAAGCAATTACAGCAAAATCAACGGCACTATTTGACTGTAGCCAGCAGAGGGCTTCCTTTTTTTGGCTACAAGTCAAGGGTTGTAGCCCTCTTATCGAACTAAACCATTCTGGGGTCGCCTTAGCTCTCACACGCCCCTCATGAGGACAAACACTTTTGGGGAAAAAATAGTGAGAAATAATCAATAGATTAGTTTACAGATTAGTATTAATTTAACAGTTTTGCTGTTCAACAATCCTAATATATGAAAAAAAGGTTGACTTTGTTAACTAATGACAGTTTGTATGGTAGCATTGGAGTCTTACTGTTTTGAATGTGAGTCCGCTTCTCTCAATATCAGGTGTGTATTCCCTTCTATTATTCTTCTGTTTACACCCATTGTTTAGGTTGATCCCACTTCAGTGTTGCAATAATGACAAAGGAAACTAGTTAATCTGAAGGGCTCATGAAGTACGCAGAGGTCGCACACTTAACAGAGTCAACCGTTTAGAATAAATGCTAGGGAAAAAAAAGACACACTGAAGGTGTCTAGAAAATTGAATTTTGGTGTGACTTTATTGCACAGGTGTCAAAACTCAAGGCCCGGGGCCAGATCCGGCCCGCCACTTCATTTTATATGGCCCGCAAAAGCAAATCATGTGTGTCAACTTGCATAATGCCTGTTTATATCTGTACCGATATGTCAAATGGTCATATGGAATAAATAATATGGAGAGTTTGCAATAATTTTACCCTGTTTACACTCACTTGACTGATTTCAAAACTAAACAAGTAATAAATTAATGGGATGAGACCCTTCCACATTTTTGTGGTTTCACTGTCATAGCGGCCCTCTGAGGGAAGACATAACTCCAAAGTGGCCTGCGACAAGAATCAGTTTGACACCCCTGCTTTAGTGGGATGTTTAAAACAAATAATGTTGGTCATTCAGGGGCGTTTGTCTTATTTAGAGAGTGGGCAGTTTTGCTCTATCAATTCCATCATGGTACTATTTTCTCACTCGGCGTCTTTATTCTTGACCAGCATTCAACCTGGACTTCTACACTGAAGTTATGGACTTGACGTATCTTCTTGATCACCTGGCTGCAGATCCCTTCTTCAAAAAATTTCGCCATCTAAATGAAAAGCTGGCCGAGGTCATTCAAGATTACAGCCTCGTCTCTTTCGTGTCCCTCAATGTTCAGGTATTATATTCCGCCCCAGACATTTGTAGTGATTATATTGCTGAAAATATCCCTTCCCCTTCATATTTATTATATTTTGTACATGGAGTGTCACAATATTTATATTATTAAAAATGAATACAAGTAGAAAATTGGATCGTTCTTAGTCTTTTGCTATTTATTCTTGTCATTAGCAGCCAGAAGATACCCATTCAGCACATATGCACCCAAAAAAATCACTTTAATTCACTGTTTAAAAAAAAATAAAAGTAATTGTTATATGCTTGTTATAACAGTGATAGCCTACTTTCGTTTTCCTAAGACAGCAAAGAAGAGAATGTAAATTATGTTCAAGAAAAATATGTCCAACATTTCAGTATGAAAATTACAATAAATGCTGTTGAATATTTTGTTTACGGTGCTCGAGATGTCTGTGAATGACGGAAATCACACACTGCTTTTCTGAAAGTAATTGTTACCATAGTAACCGCTGTTATTCAGCTGTGTAACTTTAAAGACAAAAATGGAACCTGATTTTAACTTTGGGTCTCATATAGATACGGTTACTACGGTAACGCTTTCACATTTGTCCCGTTGTACTAATGTGTCAGTCTCCTCACCCATCAGCTGATTAAAGTTGAGACGATTGTGCTATGTGAATGCAGGACAAAGAGAGTATGATGCGGGTATTGCGGGCGGTAGACAAAGCCAACGGCTGCTGCTTTGGAGACCTGGAGGAGAGGAATCTTCAGGCCATGATGTCATCTGCCATCGGGGCAGACTTTCAATTTGGCTCGTATCCTTTTCTAGCGGCTTTCTTGACTCAACGCTGACTCATGTTGCTTAATGAACCCCCACCATTTACGGGACTGCTTGCAAGCTGACTCTCTTTCTAACTTGAGTTTCATGATGGTCCTCAGCAAAAATGTTTGAATAAATGCTGAAAAGTGTCAACGTTTGCCTTAACAGCTGACTCTCCAGCACACTTGGAGTTCAAGAGCAGTACCTTGAAACCACCAGAAAGACAGTGGAGGAGGAATTGATGGACCTTTAAATGGAAGAATGCGAAATGATGCCTACACACAACCTAACTGGCTTACTTTGTGAATCCCTCCATGGAAGCAAAGACATACACAAGAATGACATTTGAAGGACACTGGTTGCCATATATGTTTGATCTAAATATATTGAATGAAATGTGACTGCAATGCATTGGGATGCTTTGAGAAAACGTGTCCAATGGGATTGCATGTGTGCTCTCCTCCAGCGTGTGGCAGGCGACGTGCTGCCAAACGGTGGAGTCTGCTCTCTGAAGGGCTGCTCCAGCTTTTCCCTGCAGCCAGAGCATAAAAATTAAGTCAGGCGGGGAGAGGAAGCCACATTAAATGTGTTTCTGCACAACTGGCCCTGTGTCTGCTCTTTGGGATGGAAGACCCTCAAACTCTCCTTTTAGTCTTTCCACCATTGCTGTTGTAATTGTATTTTAAAAGTCCGCCCTTCAAAGACTTAAGACAGTTCACACATTCACATTTTACAAAAAAAAAGGTATACAGCATACACATTTCATGCGTCATCAGAGTAGAACTAAATCATTCGCAAAATAACACTGCAACGTGGAGAACGTGGAGTTGTTCTCGCCTGCAGTCAACCGTGCATTGTGGGGGTGTGTCAGGCACAATGTTAAATTGTGTTCCGATGTTTGCACATGTGATCAACTATGCCTCCACATTGGTACCTCCTGCCTCCCCCCCTACCCTCTCTCCATTTAGCCCCAGATAGGAAGATGTGTGCCTGTGAAACATAGAAAGTTATCAAGTAACAAATGGAATTATGATCGCACATTTGATTAAAAAAAAAGACTTTTGTATACAGTATTCGTACATTTCATCCGTTTAATCAGCAGTGAGCAGTCTTTTGCACACGCACACACTTCTCATTACACCCCTCCCCTGCTGATCTACGTTTCATGGATGCCACAGTCTTTGCTTTTACGGAGGATAAGAAGGCAAACACGCAAGAGTTGTCTGTTTTTTCCGTACTTTATGAAACTGTCCACGCTTGCACTAACACCCTCCCCTCAATCCCTCTCACCCATGCTGCTAGATAAGGTCTGGCTGACTGTTGGTTCAATGTTATTGGGGTGAGAGAGGCAAAGAGCTGCCGCCTTGCTGTTCCCATCCCCCACACTGCACAGCACTGAGACAGAGAGGGGAGGAGGGAGGGAAAAGAGAGAATGTGCATTGCTTCTCTCTATTGCTGCAAGGCTTCCTCCTTCTGCTGTGTGGGTTGCATGAATACAGAAAAAAAACATTGCGTTTAAAAAAACACGAAAACAGTCATACATTTGTGGTGACTGAAGGAAAAGACAGGATTTATTCAAACATGTGAGCAGACTCCAGATATTTGCACCATTTCAACAATGTGCACGATGTGTGATCGATTAAAAGTTGGACATAACTTGTATGGACCTTAAATATTCCCCCCGCGTCATGTAAGATATTCGCACTATGAAATAGTGGAGAAAAGACAATAAGGACCGAGGAGATCCGGTCCGTCCTTGCTTGCAGGGTGCGGTCCGGTCCGGGTTTTGCGCCCCCCGCTCGGCTCAGTAAAATGGCTGTATCTAACGAAGCCTCGTGTTGGTTGGGCTCGCTCCCTGCCTCTACCCGGGCTCAGTAACATAACTCCCACAACAATTTCTCTCGGTTTTTTACGCATTGTATGGAGCGCCAGCCAGCTCTCTAACCCACTCACGGAACCGGAACCAAGGGGTGGCAGCCGGATTCGGTCCGGTTCGCGGGTGGGGATGAATCGGCGCCGGGATAAATGGTTCTAAACAATTATTCATGTTCCATGCTAGCTTTTGATTGTGACTGACTCGCCGAGAGAGGGAGAGAGGTGGGGGTATGTATTCGTACATTTCATCCGTTTAATCAGCAGTGAGCAGTCTTTTGCACACGCACACACTTCTCATTACACCCCTCCCCTGCTGATCTACGTTTCATGGATGCCACAGTCTTTGCTTTTACGGAGGATAAGAAGGCAAACACGCAAGAGTTGTCTGTTTTTTCCGTACTTTATGAAACTGTCCACGCTTGCACTAACACCCTCCCCTCAATCCCTCTCACCCATGCTGCTAGATAAGGTCTGGCTGACTGTTGGTTCAATGTTATTGGGGTGAGAGAGGCAAAGAGCTGCCGCCTTGCTGTTCCCATCCCCCACACTGCACAGCACTGAGACAGAGAGGGGAGGAGGGAGGGAAAAGAGAGAATGTGCATTGCTTCTCTCTATTGCTGCAAGGCTTCCTCCTTCTGCTGTGTGGGTTGCATGAATACAGAAAAAAAACATTGCGTTTAAAAAAACACGAAAACAGTCATACATTTGTGGTGACTGAAGGAAAAGACAGGATTTATTCAAACATGTGAGCAGACTCCAGATATTTGCACCATTTCAACAATGTGCACGATGTGTGATCGATTAAAAGTTGGACATAACTTGTATGGACCTTAAATATTCCCCCCGCGTCATGTAAGATATTCGCACTATGAAATAGTGGAGAAAAGACAATAAGGACCGAGGAGATCCGGTCCGTCCTTGCTTGCAGGGTGCGGTCCGGTCCGGGTTTTGCGCCCCCCGCTCGGCTCAGTAAAATGGCTGTATCTAACGAAGCCTCGTGTTGGTTGGGCTCGCTCCCTGCCTCTACCCGGGCTCAGTAACATAACTCCCACAACAATTTCTCTCGGTTTTTTACGCATTGTATGGAGCGCCAGCCAGCTCTCTAACCCACTCACGGAACCGGAACCAAGGGGTGGCAGCCGGATTCGGTCCGGTTCGCGGGTGGGGATGAATCGGCGCCGGGATAAATGGTTCTAAACAATTATTCATGTTCCATGCTAGCTTTTGATTGTGACTGACTCGCCGAGAGAGGGAGAGAGGTGGGGGTATATCATGGCCGCTCAGGTCGCCAGCGCCGCCACTCTGAACACAAGCCCGGCTTCCGAGCTCAAAAAGCCGGATCGAGAGCCCAAGGAGGATACGGTACCGGGGGAGAAGCAGTCCGACAAAAAGCAGCCGGGGTTGGAAGGGGAATCGCCGTGCCGGGGGGATCTGCAGGACGGCGCCGACGTTGGAAATGCAGGAGGAGGAGGGGAGCCTGAGATGAAGAACGGCAATGGGAACCCGCCCAGAGCTAACAATAATAACCAGAATGACACCGTTGGACCGGAGGGAAACAATCACCCGGGTATGGTGCACCACCACAACCCCGCTTTCCCTCCTCCGTCGTACGGATACAGTCAGCACTACGGTCGGGCCCCTTTTCATCAACATGGCGGACAACAAAGCCCTGGCATGGCAGCTGCTGCGGGTCCGGCCGTTCAGCCCGGCAACATCATGGACCCTTACCAACCTAATTCGCACGACTTTTCCAACCACCAGTTTAACAGTTACAGCCCGTTCCCAAACAGGACTCCGTATCCGGGCCAGGCGTACGCTATGAACTCGCCTCGCAGTAGCCAGGCGCCGACAGCTGGGGGGCAGCCTGCTAAGCAGCAAACACCAGCGGGAGGACCCACGGCCATGGCTGGATCTTACAATAACCAGAGATATAACATTGGAAACCCGCAGCCTACATCCACACCGACGCTCAATAAGCTCCTGACGTCCCCGAGCTCCACCCGGGCTTATTCCACCTACCCGTCTAGCGACTACACTAGCCAAGAGGGAGCTAGCAAGGGAGCAGCAGACATGGGCGCTAGCGGTCAGTACGGAGGCAGCAATCCGGCTTGGCAACAAAGAACCCATCACCCGTCGCCCATGAGCCCGGGTAGTGCCGGGCAACCGCTAGCTAGAAGCCAGGTAAAATCATACTACAACACGAGCGCCATGTCGTTTCCCCCCCACGTCTCCTTCCCTCCTCCTAACTAGTTCACAACGTAGTAGGCCAGCCATTGTCTGCTACACTAGTTCGCTAAGACTCTAAAATGGCTGCCTGTCGTGTGTGTTTCCCAAATAAAAGCAGCCCGTAAAACAGTCGTTTTTCCGTCGATTCGAACGATATTAACCGAGACGAGAGCGTGGGGCGATGACGAGGGAAGTCGTCGAAAGTATACAACGTTGAGGACTTTCGCGGAGCCACGAAGGCCGGACTTTTGAGAACACTCGAATTCACATCGAGGGGGCAACGGTTCGTTTCAACCAACCTAAGCATTGCCACGCACACCCAGCAAAATTAAAAAAAAACAGTTTGTGAGATATGATCACGTTTCAATATACGAAAACATACTGTAACTCGATGCTTAAAGCCGTTAGTACAATCCAGACTTGTTAATTTTCCATATTAATTTGGTGGCTCTGACGGAAGGAATGCTATATACACTCCCAATCAGGCTCGCTGTTAGATAAGTGGCCTCCTGCTTTTCCAGATTCAAAGAAAACCATTTTAAACGTCGTTATAACATGTCACTAAAATGTCGTAAATGTTCGCAACGTGACCGCCTATTTGAGTGTGGCAGGGATGCGGAGTTCCATATGCTTGTTGTTGACCGTAAACGGTCAGAAGGCTCGGGCCACATGAAGCGAGTTGTTGCAAGGCTGCAAGATTGCAGCGTGCAACAGGGATTTGAATTGTGGAGGTAAAATCGTGCTGTCAAAGCCAGGAGATAGTTGGTCTCGGGTTGACATGCTAGCTCCGATCTGATTGGCTCCTCAGCCGCAGCTCATGTGGCCATTTATAATTACATGTGATGCAAGGCAACAGTTGCTGATAAGAAGAGCATTGAATCATCTCAGGGTCACCCGAGGTATTTCTGCCTGTCATTTTTGGCTACCGCTTTTCTCCCTAAACACTCCATGATGTCGGCTCTGATCATTGATGCTATATGGTTTTTAATTAAGGTAATTTAATACAGATTCCCCTTAAAGACTTATATTTTGACCCAAAAAGGGTGATGGACCCTGGACCCTTACAAGACTGATGGGAAGTAACAAACTGCATATACTGTAGTTTGCTACTGTGGTTCAATAGATTTTCCCCACCTTTAAAAGAGTATCTGAACTTCATGGTCTTTATTTTGTCAAAATAGGCCTCTTACTTTTTCCAACCTCTTTAGATGACATATGAACATAAAGAGGTAAATAGACGAGAGGCAAAGTTAACCATAGTTGATTGAGATCTTAGGGACTTTAACATAGAGAAAATAGTCACAATAGCAACGGAGGAATGTGAAGCAAGATATTCCCGGTGCATGGCCTCCAGCAAATGTGTTGTCTTGTGCCATCCTAAAAAACAAAAATTACTGACTTTCAAAAATTCTTTCTAATCTGAAAAAAACCCCACATAGAAGTCAGGTGTACATGTTATTAGACAATTTAGCATATACTTAGCATATACTGTACATAACACATTCTTTTGATTGCGTAAAATCTTGAGGTAGCATTAGCAAGCTATCAAAATAGGCATTTTATGTAGTTGGCAGTAAAAACGAATTCATCCTACTTGTTACATTCAGTCTATTTACACTACCATTCTTAAATTTGGGGTCACAGACACATTTTTCTCTCCATGAAACCACCTGTTGCATATTTACACCACTTAAACTGTCTTTATTTCTAAGGAAAACGTTTCACTAACAATGTCTACACTATATTTGTGGTTAATTCAGTGGTATCATCTTGGGGGGGTGGGGGGACAGTACTCTTTTAAAACAAGGACATTTCTAAGTGAGCCCAAGCATTTGAACAATATTGTCTTTATACAATATCGTGGATATGCCTTTTAGCAAAACTACTGTCTTGTTCCGTTTGCATCGAAGCAAAAACTGCGAACAATGCAGCCGATTCAATCTTCTTTGCTTCTTGCTGCAACTTTAATTTGCATTTTGGTTATTCCTCCTATTTCATGGATTATAGGATTACAGACAGATTTTCTAAAACATGGGGATATTAAATATTTGCATCATTGTTTTTAAATGAATAGTTTATGCTTAACAAAAAGCTGCATTTTAGCCCCACCTGCAGAAATGTGTGCATGTAGCTGCTGTCTGGTTGGCATGCCACAAAAGTTTGACTCCAAAGAATCCCCCCCCCCCCCATAAGCCAATCAGAAAGCAGTCTACCATCTCTCACCCACCAAGGGAGTTTGTCTTATGCAGATTAGCCATGTGCTGCTTTTATTTATTTCAATTCGTCACGCGGCATCTGCAAAATGTCACGCAAGGTATGACAGCAGAAAAAAACGTTTCTTAAACTGATAAGGCTTTTCCTCAAGTACATTTGGGAATTCTCTTGCTATAATGTAATATGGCCTTTTTGGAGTAGTGGTGTTTCATTTAAAAAAACAAATAAGACAAATATACGCATCGAAATATGTTTGCTATCAGATCTTACGTAAATCTGTGTTTATTCCCTTTTCACCGGTGCCTTGTTTGGAAAGTACTTCCTTAATTTTTCATGTCATTCATCAGGAGCCAAACTGCCTTCTCCGGGGATAAAAAAACAAAACAAAAAAACTTAAGACAAGGTTCAAAACAGGAACACAGCTGGGAAATATCTGTAGTTCAGTTGACTGATCTCTATTTGGAAGCAGATATATACACTGTTTACTTGTGAGAAAATCTTAAAATCGGTGAGGGGGAAAACATGAGAAATTAGTTCAAAAGATTAGTTTTCATTATTTTATGGCCTTTTCGGTGATGTCCAGAAGCACAAATGATATCCACCTAATTTGTCAGAAAATTGTTTATTCATTGTAAATATCCCTCTTTATCCATTAATACTTGGGACATATAGTGATGAGCAGAAGAGTTAAATCGTTTTCCATTATATGGCAAAAAAGTTCAATAAACTCTTTCATACAACCGAATAAGTCGGCTTCCTGCTAGTACAACAGCTTTGTGTTACACAGGCCCATATTTCACAGTTTGCGAGTAAAATGAGATGAAAGAATCATTTCAGCATTCCTACTTTTTGTCACATATGTTGGTGGTGTTCTGTGAGATTCCGTAATTGGTTTAATAAAGGCTGGGAAACACTGGCATGTATAACTCAGCAACAAGGCATCTTACTTCCTGTAACTTTGCTGCATTTCATTTTGCTGCTGATTTATTAACAATCTTGCATCTTCTAGCCACCTGCTTCCATGGACCCAATGGCGAAAATGAGAGGGCAACCGTACGGTGCCAGTAGCCCGTACAGTCAGCAGTCGCAGCAAGGACCTCCCACAGGGCAGCAGGGCCCTGGATATCCTGGCCAAGGATATGGCCCACCAGGTCCTCAACGATACCCACTTAGCATGCAAGGACGAACTCCCGGAACCATGGGTGGGATGCCCTATGGTCCACAGGTATACTGCTGGTTTGATTCTGTAATTTTGTTGTTGTTTTAAGTTGCGCTCTTAATGTTTTTTTGTGTGCTAGATGGGGTCTTATGGACAGCAGGGACCGGGAGGATATGCTTCACAGGGCCAGGGCCCATATTATGGTCAGCCTGCTCAGGGTCCTCACCCAAGCCAGCATCAAACACCCTATTCTCAGCCCCAACCTGGACAACCAGGAGGTCAAGCACCTTACCCGGGGCAACCCCACCAGCCACCACCCTCGGCACCACACGTCCAAGGAGGAGCTCCTTATCAGCAGCCTCATATTGCCCCACAGACCCAGGTTCCACCTCAAGGCCCCGCACAGCCTCAGCCACCATATTCCCAAGCGTCAGCCCCTCAGTCTGGCCAGTCTCCGTACCAACAGCAGGGACAAAGTGGTCAGACTCCCCAGCAGCCAAGTTCCCAGGCTCCCCCAGGAGCACAGGGACAGACCAACTACCCGACATCGGCGCAGCCGCCTCAGCAGTCCACCTCGCAGCAGCAACAGCAGTCACAGACCACCCAGCACTCACAAGGTCAATCTGGAGCATACCCACAGAACCCTCAGCAGCAGCAGCAAGCACAGCAGTCACCTTATCAACGCTTTCCTCCTGCACAACAACAGGTGCGTCCCTCAGATGAGGATCATTGTGGTAATCTTTGTTTAGTTCATAAACGTGTACATCAGAGAATGTGTTTTCTTGTTCTGCAGGAGCTACCACAAGACTCATTTCAGTCCAATGCTCCACCATCATCACAGCAAAAAGGTGGTCCAGAAGACAGTCAGGGCCGTCCCTCCAGCCTTCCGGTCAGTCATGTATGCATCAAGGCTAGAATTTTTTCTCACTTTATTTCTCTTTTGCCCTTGTGTAAAATAATGTGATTCTGTTTGTGTTTTTCATATACTCCTCCCAGTTCATTATTTATGGCATGTTTTATGAGTTAAATGCCAGGGAGATTTTCCTCCTCAAACCTTGATAACATCCTATGCATTTGTCACTTAAAAGATGCAGAAGCATCACGCAGAGTAACATTTTCCTTCTTCCTTCTCGTAACTAAATAAATAGAAAAACCTCACATTATAACAGTTTAATTCTACACTGTTAAACTCTGGACACAATTGTAAATTTTATTTTCAGTTGAGGTTTTTTGATGCAACTCTTGTATTTGAGTTCATTTGTGCAGTTTTACATAAGTGGTGGCTGGTGAGTCTGTGACTGCACAAGAAACAGAGGTGGGAATAATTTGCATTTGTGCAAATCACAAGTAAGTCTCATGTCGCCATCTTCAAGTCTCAAGCAAGTCCCAAGTGACTGTTGGCGAAAGAAAATAATCAAGCAATCCGAGTCACCACCAAATTTCAATGAAGTCAAGTTATTACTTGGTGAAGACAAGTCCTAAGTCGAGTCATAAAATCTTGCACAGTCACAACATATGTTGTATTTACTGATTATACTACAAAAAGGAGATTTTTTTCTAAAAAAGAATGTAATATATAATTATGTCTCTAACCATGAAATGAAAAACGACTTATACAATGAATGTCTACACTTAAATTATTTAAATGAATGCGTATTATTTTTACATATTAACGTTTATATGAGTGACACACTGTTAATGTGGTGACGAATAATGAAATAGGCTGAATGAGGGCGTAACCATGTATAAGTATCAGATTTAAAAACTACGCATGTTGTTTCAGGCGTCAATGTGGTACCCAAATATCATTGGTTTGTGTACTGTAAATGTGTGAATGAAAGGCATGAACATTCTGCGCCTTGTAGATTGTCACTTTTTGAAGGTGACATAGATTCATTTAATGGGGCACTGCCACATAAAATATGGCGGACATGCCTATGACCAGAAAAGTACTGTGTATGTATGTATAGACGTTTATGCTTGAATAACGATTGCTGTTTTAGAGATATGGTTTAAAGATCACCATCTACATGATGTTTAATCTATCGCTTTATTGGCTTCTCAGTTAAATGCAGAACCCACATTTTTTGACCATCTATTGGTGAATTAAACCGTCGAGCTAAACTAGCTAGCCATGGTTCACAGATGAAAGGAACCGATGTAGATGTTGTCTCTTCTGTTCGAGTGATAAACCTTGCATGTCGCTGTTGTATTTTTCTCTGTGTCATGAAATTGATCATCTTCAAATTCCAAAATGTTTCCATGCCTTTTTTTTCCCCTCTTGGCAATTGGCCGCAAGCAATACGATGCTTTGCTTTTGCATCGAGCCATTGGCTACTTTGGAAGTACACATCCCATCACCTCGTTCCTGAAGAGTGCGTTGGGAGCGCGTAGAGGGCATGGCTATGCATACGGAAAAGTCACAGTTGAAACGAATGGTTCGGACAGTTTTCCAACCAACCCACCCCAAGTTCATGGTACTTAGCTGTACTTAAATGTTCATAATCACATTTTTCTTACTGTTCCCAAACCAATGTTCGCATTGCTAGCTAAACTGTGAGGCTAGCAACCTGTCTGTGGGTTTTGTAATGATGAATGACGTTAGACGTTGTCGCTATTTTGCCTTCATTCCATGAAGTGCAAACCTTGCATTTTGCCATCCTATTTTTGCCAACATCATCGCCAAAACAATCCATTAATTCGAATTAGCGATCTTCAGAGTTGCTTCAATCGCTATTGGTGTTAGGTTGCCACTTCTCACCAACAAGCGATGATGACTGGGTTGCCAGGTTGGCGTAAATGAAATAAAAACCCAATTCTTTTCTTTCATTCTTGCTTTTGGGAGGAACATTCTGTTAAACTTCAGATTTCAAACTATTAACAAGATGACTTATCCACTCATGTAGTTCAAGTCAAGTCACTTAGATATAAAGTCCAAAGACGAGTCAAGTCATTCCCAGGTTTTTGTCGAGCAACTCATAAGTCCTGACAAATAGCACATCAAGTCATATGACTTGAGTCCTCCAACTCTGATGAAAAAAAAAAAGAAGCAGGTTTCTAATCAGAATGTACGTGAATAACTCTGCTTTCCCTCGCATGTTTTCAGGACCTGTCGGGGTCCATTGATGACCTGCCTACTGGTACAGACGGTGCCCTGAGTCCTGGAGTGAGCACACCAGGTGTTTCGAGCAGCCAAGGCGAGCAGAGCAACCCGGCTCAATCGCCCTTCTCACCTCACACGTCTCCCCACCTGCCTGGTATCCGAGGACCATCACCATCCCCGGCGGGCTCCCCGGCCAGTGCCAGTACACCTCGCACTGGGCAGCTGTCACCTGCCAACATGCCAGGTAGGGGGGGGGGGGGCGCTTTTCCTCAATTCCAGAAACGAAAGCTGCAATAAATCTCTCCATATCTGTATTCAAGATGAAATTTGTATTTACCGTAATGTTTTCATAATGCTTCATTACTTCCAGCTAACTTTGTTTTGATGTAAAATAGAATCTTGTAAGCGCGGCCCGGTGGTCCAGTGGTTAGCGCGTCGACCTCACAGTGCAGAGGTACTGGGTTCAATTCCAGCTCCGGCCTCGCTGTGTGGAGTTTGCATGTTCTCCCCGGGCCTGTGTGGGTTTTCTCCGGGTACTCCGGTTTTCTCCCACATTCCAAAAACATGCATGGCAGGCTGATTGAACGCTCTAAATTGTCCCTAGGTGTGAGTGTGAGCGTGGATGGTTGTTCGTCTCTGTGTGCCCTGCGATTGGCCGGCAACCGGTTCAGGGTGTCCCCCGCCTACTGCCTGAAGATAGCTTCGATAGGCTCCAGTACCACCCCGCGACCCTTGGGAGGATAAGCGGATCGGAAAATGGATGGATGGATTGATAGAATCTTGTACATTGTCTCATCATCATCAACATTTTTATCCATTGTTTTTGTGTGAGTTTGTGCCTTGCAGTAAATATAGATATGTGTCAAATACCTGGAGGTGGCCTTCTTTTGTTTTCTTTGCCCCTTAAATTGTCAGAATGTGCGCGCCATATGAGCTGAAACTCTGCTTTCAGTCACATGAATAGTTAACCAAGTAATTACATGAATTTTGTTCAAACGGAGGTTAACCTAACTTCAATATTGTTTTCCAGGCAACCAGATGCCTCCAAGACCATCAAGTGTGCAGTCAGATGGTAGTCTTCACCCTGGCATGAGCCAGTCTCCTCTGGCTCCAGACCGAGGTACACTTGTGTATCATGGGGTATAATTCCGTTTACCATTGCTTATTCCAAACAAGCCCTTCTCTTCTTTTACCACTTTAGGATTTATGCAGAGAAACCCTCAGATGCCCCCTTATGGTTCCCCACAGTCAGCCTCTGCATTGTCACCACGCCAGTCCTCGGGGGGACAAATGCATCCTGGGATGGGTCCATATCAACAAAATAACTCCATGGGTGGATATGGACAACAGGGGGGACAATATGGCCCCCAGGGTGTGTTTCTCTCTGTACCGTTTTTATTTATTTATTCATTTTTATAAAGAATTTTCAGTTTAAAAAACTTGCTGGTTGTTTGTCGACATTACATAAGGCTTGTCTTGACATAATGAAGTACCATTTTGAAGATTGTCTACATTTCTTATTAGAAAAAACAATTGGCTACATCCCTCCAGCAAAGAGGCACAGCATAGCAAGCTATCACTGCTCCCTCCCTCTAACTCTGTTGCTGCTATTAATAGCTGTGAAGCAGAAAGTCAGCTGACGTAGCAGACCCTCCTGTCAGTAGAGCTCAGGCTGTGACGAAGGCTTGTTGCTCAGGGAACGTAGCTCTCACTGCTAGCACACTGTAGAAAGAAAAGTGTGACTCACGTAGCAAAAATAATTATTTGTAGCTTTAGTTTTCAAACACAGAATTTGTTCAAATTATTTTTTTGGTGTGTGTGTCAAATTTGCTTTAGGTTATCCTCGCCAACCCGGCTATGGTAACATGCCCAATGCCAATTACCCTGGGACGGGCATGGGTCCAATGGCGGGTCAAGGTGGGGGACAACCATACGCTGGCATACCCCCAGGAAGGATGCCACCAAACCAAATGGGGGCGCGTCCATATGGCCCCAGCATGGGTCCCAACATGGGCCCTAACATGGGCAACATGCCATCCCAGGTTAGCTCAGCGATGTGCCCCCCTCCAGGCATGAACAGGAAACCACAGGATCCTGCGGCCATGCAGCACCCGGCCTCCAATTCATTGCACAACAGGTTGGTTCATGCTCTAGCCGACTCGCTTTACTTACAACAGTTATGCCATTATTCCGATTGTTTTTTCCACATCTAGGATGTCTGGTTATCCTAACATGCCTCCAGGCATGATGGGCTCTGGACCTCCGTATGGTCCTTCTATGAACAGCATGCCTGGAATGATGAACACCCAAGGTGGATCCCCTTATCCCATGGGGCCAAACATGGCCAACAACTCAAGTGGTACATTTTATAGCTTGGTTGCACTTTAATTACTTGAGCCTTTTGTTCTTTAAAGGCCAATCAATGAATGTATTTTCAACTGAAATGTGTCTAGGTATGGCTCCTAGTCCAGAGATGAACAATAAAATGAATAACAAAGTAGATGGAAGTGGAACACCCAAGCCGGAGCCCAAATCAAAGGTAAACTCACAGTTGTGTTGGTTTAATAGTGTTTTTGATAACAAATGCGCTGAGCAGGTTTTCCACTTCTCTCCAACAAAACAGAAATCAAATTCCTCTACGACGACCAGTGAAATGATAACGCGTCTTTATGAGTTAGGACCGGAACCTGAAAGAAAGATGTGGGTGGATCGTTATTTGGCTTTTATTGAGGAGAAAGCCATGGGCATGACCAACCTGCCTGCAGTGGGACGCAAACCCCTTGACCTCTTCCGGCTGTATATATCAGTAAAAGATATTGGAGGAATGGCACAGGTAATGCTGAGTGTGCATCTTTTCAATTTGACTATAATTCATGTGGATTGTCTACCAGATTATGATTCATTGTTGTCTGTGTCTCAGGTGAATAAAAACAAGAAATGGCGAGATTTGGCCACGTCCTTGAATGTAGGCACATCCAGCAGTGCTGCCAGTTCTTTGAAAAAACAGTACATCCAGTGTTTGTATGCCTTTGAGTGTAAAATCGAGCGTGGTGAAGATCCTCCTCCGGAGATATTTACAGATAACAAGAAGAACCAAACCGCAAAGGTCCAGCCCCCCTCACCAGGTTAGTGCCACAATTGCACATTTTCTTTCTAAAACCAAAGCAATTCCATTTTATTTCCATGTCATTATATTAATGTGCCATATCTGTCTGCTTCTCTACTTTCAAACTGAAGCGTCCCTCTGCTCCACAGCTGGGTCAGGCTCTCTGCAGGGCCCTCAGACTCCCCAGTCGACCAGCAGTTCTATGGCTGAGGGTGGAGACTTAAAACCTCCAACCCCAGCCTCCACTCCTCATAGCCAGATGGCCCCTATTCCACCTGGTTCCAGGTGACTTTCCCATAACACTATTACAAAGTTGCAACTTGACATTTAAATGGGTTATAAATCTATAATTCTCTTTGCCCCCCCGCCATCCCCTTTCCCACTTCTTAGAAGCAGTGTTAACCTGCAGGACCCCTTTTCTGAAGGTAGCGACCCTGCTTACCCACGTAAAAACATGACACCCAACTCTGCCTATCAGTCTGGCATGAGCACCCCAGAAATGCAGGGGCGCCTGGGCCCCTATGAACCCAACAAGGACCCGTTTAGCAACATGAGAAAAGGTGGGCACATTGAATAGGTCATAAATTGCTTCCCTAATGGCAACTGCTGAGTTAATTTGCACTAAACGGGCTTTAATTCTGAATACATCTTCAGTCGGGGAGCAGTTTCTTCCTGCTAACCAGGGCCCCAACAGCGGGGTGGGCGACCAGCAGCAGCAACCGCCACAACAGCAACAGCAGCAGCCACCATTCAACCGAGGACCACCCGGGGCCATGGGCACAATGCCACTGGGACCCAGACAACAGTATCCTTATGGACCAGGCTATGACAGGAGGTAAGACATTCTGATTGGTATTTAGAATTTTAAAGGTCATTAAACCCAGTTAATGAGAACTCGAGGCTAATTTCCTTTGTGGGTCAGGGAAAGATATGTAATTCATACTTCATCTTAAATTGACAAAGGGATTTTCTTCTTTCCCCCTCATTTGTTTTAATGACCTCTTGAGTCATTATAGTGCTTTGAAAAGAATCCGACACAAAAGTGCGTGTGTGTGTGTGTGTTTGTGTGTGTGTGCGCGCGTGCGCGCGCATATATATGTATGTAATATTTGTGGCTAAATATTTTAGTTAACCCGATAGGAAAGAGCAAAGCGTTTTATTAGAACTTGTTAGACTTACTGACTTTTGAAGGAAGAGTTTTTTTTCTTGTTTTGTTGGAACCTATTAATTGCGTTGTATTAATTCTTTTTTTATGTAAGTTTGAAATGTTTTAAAACATTGTACAGCACTTTGAGTTGCGTTTTTATGTATGAAAAGTGCTATCTAAATAAAGTTTGATTGGATTTTTTTGGTACACTATGCAAATCCAATGTTGACTGTCCTGGGACAGTTAAAAAAAGGATCTGAATTTCCATCCATCTCATTCTCTGTTGTATTTCTCAATAATTCCGGTCTTCAATGGTGATTGTTCTTTCCCAGAACTGAGCCAGGAATGGGTCCAGAAGGCAACATGGGATCTGGTGCTCCCCAGCCAAACTCTATGATGCCTGCCAATGCCGACACTGGGATGTATTCGCCGAATCGCTTCCCGCCACAGCAACCACGGTTGGTTAACAGAATCGCTTTATTTCTAAAGCATTATTTTTTAATATTTTGAATAGCATGTTTGTCCCAAATTCATCCTTTATCAATGGGTCTAGTTTAGTCTGATCCATGCAAAAGAATATTATGGCTACATTGAAAAAAAAATACACTTCTAGCGTAAAGCAGTAGTATTTGGAGAATCAAGTGTATGCTTTCGATAAAAGTAGTAATCTTCTAAGAGTGAAGTTTTATTTTTCGAGCAATGGGGCATATCCGTGTAGGATTAAAAAAAACGTTGCTTTTTGAAGCACATATTATATTATTCATCTACCTGATAAATATTTATTTCCTAGCATTTCTGCTAATGCGAATTTAGGCAGGTCTCTTCTTTCAACATGTCTTTTTCGCAAATCTCTGTGGACTTAAACTTACTACCGACGTCTGCGGCCATGAAAATGTAAGGTAGAGTAATTTATGTAAAGAGAGAGCAACCACTTGAATTGTATGTAGTGAATTAAAAAAAATGCATGAAGCAGAAGTTGAATAAAGGCAGTAATGTATGTATCAATGTGGGCGCTTATAAAAATGAGAAAATATATGCGGGTGCACAGTGATATCAAGATTCCCGCATGAGAATACATTTTTATGAGTGGAAGGTGTTTGCTGCATAAGTTTAAATGATGACCATGTCAAATAATTCTTTGGTACATGTTTGAAATGAAAAACTCGCATCGACTTGAGTTAATCAGGATGAGGACTTTGATGTGTTTGTGTAAACATTGTTGGTGTGGCTTTGTCATCATTAAATTTCATGAGATGAACATTTACTACTTTCCAACTCATCTGCCCCTAAATCCTCTATTTTTGCTCCTAAAATTTCAGGTTAAGGGCCACTGCGCTCCTAGTAAAAAAAAAAATTGGGGGGGGCACGGGCGGTTACAGTAATATTTAATGATATTCATACTGTAATTTCATCTGCAACTGTGGCTGAAAAAGCCAAGCAAGGAGAGTCTGTTGTGGAATGAGTACAGTCACTAAATGAGGCAATCATTGTTAACTGACTCGCAAATGTCCACAATCTTTTCTTACTTTTTCCTCTCTTTGTTATTGTCATGTTATAACTACAGCGACCCCGGCAGTCCGCTTCATACTTGACAATATTGGCATGTTATTTATTGTTCAATAAACGGTGATTTTGACAGTTTTTGTGGCTCCCAAAACTCCCAATAATAACACCGGGATTTCCGTTTTCCGTTGTGCGAGGGCAAGTCACCAACTGGGCAAATCTGAGCTGTTGGCTATTTTTTGATTGATTGATTGTATTTTATTTTATTTGCTCAGTTCCGTTGTTCAGTCGCATAATACTTAACCCTCAATTACTAATGTTGAGTTGGGGGGGGGGACTTGTGTGGCCCTAAATTTGAGTATTTTATTTTCAGCATTAAAAGAAATGTCAATATCCTAGGTTTGCATTGTGCAATAGCACATAAATAACGATACATCGTCGCATGACATGTCTTCTAAATTAACATGGCATACCATAACCATATTCTCCAGACTACTCAGAGAGGATTCCAAAATATAAACACTTCATGTAAAATAGAGATAAAGCATCACACATTACATATGGCTTTAAATATAATATATAATACAAATAATTCTTTCAGACAGCTGACTGCTGAGCAGTATATTTTTAATCATTGTGACGTAACAATAGTCATGCATCCAGTATTTTATGTAGAATTCATGCAATTTTCCCAGGGTTTTACATTTTTTCAAACGTAAAACAGTTTTAGTCTTTAAATATATCTTAGACTTTTTTTGTATTAGCATCATGAAAGAAACATACACTCCTGACTGTCAGTCAAGCTTGATATTGACATAACAGTATACTTTGATATTTTCATGGCCAAGCTGATATTGCAATGTGATATTTGCAGACATGATTCCTATGGTAATCAGTATCCTGGACAGGGAACGCCCCCTTCTGGCTCCTACCCTAATCAGCAGCCTGGAATGTACCCACATCAACAGCAGGTAACAACAATCTAACTGTGCTATGCTAATAGACATCTCTCAATACGCTGAAAGCAAAACTAATAATGCTTGTTTTAGCGTTTTTTAAAATTAAATAAGATAGATTGAATGTGTGACTGTACGCTCTTGTTTCTAAATGTTCAGTTTGTCCAAGAATTGTGTAAATTTTCTCACATACCAGTAATCTCATTCAATGTGTAGGGCTACAAACGTCCTGTGGAAGGAGGCTACCCTCCTTCAAAACGTCATGAGTCCGAGTACAGTGGGCCTTTCCCAGGGGGACAACCACCACCACAGCAACAACAGCAAGGCGGTGTCCCGGCACCCTCTTCGGGACAGCAAGAGCCATACAATCAATATAGCGGCAGCGGACCTTACCCGGGCTCTGACCGCCGTCCTCCTGGCCCAGGCAATCAGTTCCCATTTCCCTTCGGCCGTGAACGGATGCAGGGAGCGGCCGGGCCCAATTCTCAGGCCGCCATGGCCCCTCAGATGATGCAGTCAGGCCCAGAAGGCCCTCAAGGGGGCATGTGGCAAGGCCCACGAGACATGAACTACCAGAACTACCATGGCAGGCAGGGTGGCCCTGGGGGCCCGCCCCAGGGATCGGGTTACCCTGGGATGACTCGCTCTGAAGAGATGATTTCGTCAGAACAGCGCATGAATCATGACAGCCAGTGGGGTGGTCAGATGGGCCCACGGCAGCCTCCCTATGGTCCCGCTGGGCCAGGTCAACCGATGGCTCGTTCTGTGCAGTCCAACTACCAGCCCCCTCAGGGCGTGCAGAACCACATTCCACAAGTGTCCAGCCCAGCCTCCATGCCGCGCCCTATGGAAAGTAGGACATCGCCAAGTAAATCCCCCTACATGCATGGAGTGATGAAAATGCAAAAGGCCGGCCCTCCTGTGCCTGCGTCACATATAGTGCCCACTGCAGCGCAGTCGCCCTTAATCAGACGAGACATGCCTTTCCCCATTGGCTCTGTTGAAGCTTCCCATCCCGTTCTGAAACCACGTCGCAGGCTCACCATGAAAGATATCGGTAAGACCTCCCTGCCAGGTTGTTTCTGTTCAATTTTCTGTGTGCAGTTTGCATGCATTCTCTGTGCTCATGTGGCTTTTTCTCCTAAATGCTTTTTAAGTTAATGAGATTCACAAATTAAATGATAAATGATTGCTAGTCATCAATCTCTGCCTCGGCCCAAGGTCCAGCACCCTGTACGCCTTGTCGTAAGAATAAAAGATGAATGAATCGCAGAGTGTTATGTGCTAATCATTTTTTTAAAATACTTAGGAACCCCAGAAGCCTGGCGAGTCATGATGTCATTAAAGTCCGGTCTATTAGCTGAAAGTACCTGGGCTTTAGATACAATCAACATTCTTCTCTACGATGATGGCAGTATTTCTACCTTTGATCTCAATACGGTGAGACTTTTTCTGCTTTGTCATACTTCTGCCACATATGGCGACTTGTGTCTAATATTTTGTTGTATCTCTTTCCCGTTAGTTGCCTGGCCTACTGGAGTTGGTTGTTGAGTATTTCAGACGTTGCCTCATTGAGATCTTTGGAATTCTGCGGGAATATGAGGTGGGGGACCCCGGCCAGAGAACGCTACTTGATCCTGATGCCTTGAAAGAACTCGTGGGTGGCATAGAAGAAGAGGAGCCGCATATAGAAGATGCTGATCTGGAGGAAGAAGATGATGTGGATGAGGAGGAACAAGGCACGGAAAGGCCACCTCATATAAAACAGGAGGACGAGCATAAGGAATGTTCCGAGTCACGAAAAAGAGATGTGAAGGCCGGTGATGAGCACAGACAAGATGAGGGATCTTCATCCGACCAAACTGACTCATTGGCGTCGTCATCGGCCCAGGACAAACCCAAACAGGGCAGCAAGTTCGATAAGTTTCCTCTAAAGTTGGTACGAAAGAGAAATCCATTTGTTTCTGCACAGACAAACAATCATGGTAAGGTGCAGGAATTTGACAGTGGATTGCTTCACTGGAGTGCCGGAGGAGGAGACTCAACGGAGCACATTCAGACACATTTTGAACCCCGTAAAGACTTTTTGGAATGCAGACAACGAATACCTGTGCCCCAAAGTGTGCTGAAAAGGCGAATCCGTGAAGATTTCCTTGATTATAGTTTGCCGGCAGAAGAGGAGAAAAAGAATGAGGATGAAGATAGGTCAAAGGAGACATCCTCGTCAGGGAAAGCGACTGTGTCAGAGAACAGCGCCGCCCTCACTAATGAGGAGAACAAATCTGAGTCAAAAACGGCTGAGCAAAGTCACCAGAATAACAACAGACCCATTCCGTCTGTTATGAGTGTTGTAACGCATCAGGTCACCGCCATCCTGGAGGATGAGCCTCACAGTAAAGATGAGGGGCCACTCGTCTCACTAGCAAACTGGCAGGATTCCTTGGCTCGGCGCTGTGTTTGCATCTCCAATATCATACGCAGCCTCTCCTTTGTTCCAGGAAATGACCACGAGATGTCCAAACATCCAGGGCTGCTGCTCCTACTAGGGCGCCTCATACTTCTCCACCACCGGCACCCTGAACGCAAACAGGCCCCGCTGACCTACGAGAAAGATGAGGATACGGAAGAGGGTACGGGCCAGAGGGATGAATGGTGGTGGGACTGCTTGGAGCTCCTGAGGGAAAACACGCTGGTCACTTTGGCAAACATCTCGGGCCAGCTGGACTTATCCGTCTACCCCGAGAGCATCTGCCTGCCTCTGTTGGATGGCCTTCTCCACTGGGCGGTCTGCCCTTCAGCTGAAGCCCAGGACCCCTTCCCCACCTTGGGTCCACACAGCGCTTTGTCCCCTCAGAGACTGGTCCTGGAGACGCTGAGCAAGCTAAGCATCCAAGACAACAACGTGGACCTCATCCTGGCCACCCCGCCGTTCGGTCGATTGGAGAAGCTCTACGGGAATCTCGTGCGGCTGGTCGGAGAGAGGAAAGTGGCTGTCTGCAGGGAGATGGCCGTGGTTCTGCTGGCCAATCTGGCCCAGGGTGATACAATGGCAGCCCGGGCCATCGCCGTTCAGAAAGGCAGTGTGGGCAACTTGCTGGGCTTCCTGGAGGACAGTCTGGCGGCCACCCAATTCCAGCAGAGTCAGAGTTCTTTTGTACACCTACAGGGGATGCACTTCGAGCCCACCAGCCCGGACATGATGAGGCGGGCTGCCCGGGCACTGCACGCGTTAGCCAAGGTGGATGAGAACCACTCAGAGTTCACACTACATGAGTCCCGGCTGCTTGACCTTTCGGTGTCTCCCCTCATGAACTCGCTGGTTTCTCACGTTATCTGTGATATCCTCTTTTTGATCGGCCAGTCCTGACAGCTGTAGGGAGCCGTGGCTCCTCTTTTCTGGGAGGGGGGGCGGGGGCGTTGTCCCCACCCTCCTTCTTCCTCGGTATCCTGGCTTGTGTGTAACAGGGCAAGGAACGTTTAAAAGTGACTCTTATTTATGAAAACCTTCAGATTCCATTCTCTGAGCCCTCTTCAGGGCATCCTTGCTCCTAGACTGTCGTCACAGAGCTGTGCTGGATTACGCAACAGAGAGAAGCCACACCAAGTGACACTACTTGCGAAATAAATGCCAACTGGAGAGCAGAGCGCCGCCACAGTTGGGTAACTGTTCTGCAATTGGGGGGGCGGGGGGGGATACTTTTTAATAAAGATAAATAAATGAATAAATAAATAGCTGAAAAACAAAAACTGTAACCAAAGTTGCTGTCTCGTTTACAGTGAGTTTGGGAGACGCAGTGTGCCCTAAGCACTCCCCTGGAGGGCACAATGAGTCTGTAACTGGTTGCGTTCAGAGGTGAAGCAGACTGACAAAAGTGGCCTACTGGTTCTAGTTGCTGTAGTTGGCCTATCACCTGGCAGCCAAACGCTGTCAATAGACACCTTCACCGGGGAGGCCTGTGCAGTGTGCAGTAGATTGTAGGACATTTTCTGTACCATACTGCTCTTAAGTGACAGTGTTCTGTTTCACATCGAAGCGGACGATGCAGCGCGACTCGAGTTTGGAGGTCCTTATAGTTTGGTGTTAAACAGAAAATGGCTTTCTTCCCCAAAGTATCAAGAACACCCTTACCTCCTCTTATCCCTTGATTGTATGAATACCCTTATGAAAAGAAATCACCTCTTTGGACTGGTTTTCAACTTCAAATACAGCTTTGCTGTGGTGTATATATATATATAATGTTGTACATTACACTTCTTTCCGTGTCTGTCTGTCTGTGTCACTATTCTCACACGTATTATTGGTGAGGGATGGAGGCTGACGGCAACCTCCACTTCCTGCTGAATAGACCCACTCTGGTCTCCCCACAGCTCTGTAGTGCAACAGACACGGCTCCGACCTGTTGTTCCTGGTACAACACAAACTAGATGAAGTACACATTTGACAATTTTTCTTCAATCATGGGTTCTTCATATTTGTATTTCAGACTATGTAGCTAAGACATGTAAATTCCCCCTTCTCCCTTTTTTGGCTCAATGAATATCATTTATTCAGTATGAAATCTTTATACTATATGTTCCACGTGGTCAGAATAAATGTACATTAAATCTTCCTAAGCTGTTTCATGTTTTGTCTTCCCGTGATTCCCTCTTTGAACTGCAATTCTTGACATCCACATTGTTTCAATACATATAATGTCCGTGAACCTCAAAATCTTAAAGCAGTACAACGTGCAATCACTGTTTAAAATGGCAGCAGCTGTCTTTGCAATAGCGCTTACTGCAAGATGACATTTTCCCTCCTCCCTAAATAAATACAACTGGTTTCAATCTGTACCTAAATAAAATCATGCAATACATTGTTCAAATATTCACCAGACAAGTTAAACATCGTTTGTCAGTGTTTGGATTATACATTATCTTGGAATGATGTTCCTTTACTGCAAACCAGTGATTGCCAAATATTAACAAACATAACTTTGTTTCCCTAACAAGATTAATCAAGAACTTCATCTAAATATAGAAAGGAATCCTCATGATCCAAAGCACACCACATCAAGTTTTTTACATTTCTGACACAATTTTAGGGTTTTGTGACTATGACATTTCTGCCATGTCTCTGAAGTGTGTTGCAGGGATGTTATCTCTATATGGAAAAGATCAAACTATCCCATACCACATTTATCGAGCCAGCCATTCATAACTAAAAGATGTTATGTGTCTTGTTATATTTATTCTTATATGTGATGGCATAATTAAAGCCAGTGCATGAGGTAGTACAGAGCACCACGAAGGTTATGACCCAAAGCATACCACAACATGTAGCTGTGGAGTGTGATGTAGGGGTGTTATCTTTTTGGAAGGGAACATCTCTGATCTAAAGTACCGCAGCTAGCCATCCATCCTCAAGATGTTTTGAATTAGTAGTGAAGTACACAGCGCCACCTGCTGGGGGCATGCAGAATTACACATCACATTATCACAACTGTTAACGCGTGTCTTAAAAGAGTTGGTAATGCATGCCGAACAAACACACATGAACACGTCTTAAAATCATACATGTTAAGATCTTCTATTTCATACCTATCCATTTACGCCGCCTCCTTTTTGGGTGTGGAAAGTGTCGATAGGTGAAGATGCCCAAGTTACCCATATGCCCTACTTCGTTATCACCACAGCGGCAGCGTCATTTACACATTTTAGCGCGTGGTACTTGAGGTAATGTTGAGGCATGAACTTTGTGCATTATGTAGGTTGTGACTTTGTGAACTTCAACCGTTGACTTGCATCAGTTTACTCGGCAGATCTGTCACGTCCAATATGGCGGACGGGCTGACGTGTCGTAATAACTTGCTAACTCGCTCATAGACAGGTCTATGTCTCCGTAGATATGGCATGACGTCTGAACGCTTTATTTTGAATGCCATTTTCTATAGCACCGGAAGTGGATTGAATAAGGGTCGAAGGTGGCATTAGAAGTAATGGCTGACTCCTTCCTGATGAAATGCTGACAATCCGGTCCCACGAGTTCCCGACGATGATACTTTTCATAAAAACACATTTTTTTCTTGTCTTTTACTGACTATGATGGAGTACAGAGCTGTGTTGGAATTTGCAACATTCACCAGGGTCGCCTCGTTGTTTTTGCAGGTACTGTTGATCCTTTGCAGTCAGCCTATTTAATGTATGGCTGTTGTCAGTGGTCAGTGTGCCACATACTGTACATATATATTAAATTAAATCACAAAGGAGCTGACAACGGGAGTGGGCCAACTTAAACATTATTTTATATATATATATATATATATATATGTGTGTGTGTGTGTGTGTGTGTGTGTGTGTGTATATATAAATATATGTAGATGTATATGTATAGTGGCTGGATAGCTCAGTTGATTTGATTTTTCCAATCAAATCATCGGAAAGCCATTTTTAAGGGAATGTTGTAAATGAGTTTGACATTATTTTGAACTGTTTTAGGATAGGGTTTTTATAGTATAGTATCGCAAGGGTGAGGGACTGAGTCTTGTGTTTTTTTTAATTGGAAATGTGTATGTATTGTTTCACTATGTAAGGGTTCATTTTGATAACACTTGAATTTCTTTTATCAGGCTCTCTTCAACGCTGCCATTCCTGACCACGATGCTGATGCGTTCAGGCCCCCACGAACAGAAATGCCTCTGTACTTGGACTCTGCTGTGGAGTGGTTATTTGGTGGTCTCAGCCACTGGGACGCCGAGCATTTCCTCCTCATCGCTGAGAGAGGATACCTCTACGAGCACAACTTTGCTTTTTTCCCCCTTTTCCCGATCATCCTGCGAGGCCTGGCTGACACGCTGCTATGGCCCCTTGGCAGCTGGTTGAGTGTGCGAGGCCGTTTGCTAGTGTCGGTTGCTCTTGTGAACAGTACACTCTTCCTGCTGAGTGTGGTGGCCTTGCATGCGCTCAGTCGGGTGGTTATGCAGGACAGGCGGCTTGCCCTGCTTTCCACCTTGCTCTACTGCATCACCCCTGCCAATGTTTTCATGACCGCTGGCTATGCAGAGAGTCTTTTTGCCGCACTCACATTTGGGGGTCTGTTCCTCCTGGAAAAAGGGTTCATCCTTAGAGCCTGCCTGGCATTCAGTATAGCCTCAGCGGCGCGATCCAACGGGCTGGTTAATATCGGCTTTCTATTGTATCTTCCATCGGTATATGCCATCTCCCAGATCCGTTTATACCGGTCGATTGCAACAGGCCACAGGAAGATCTTCTCCTACATCGGGGTCATCCTTCGCCTCCTGCTCACCTCTCTTTTAGGAACAACAGTCATTGCCCTTCCCTTCTGCGCTTTTCAGTATTACGGCTATAGAACATTTTGTACACCGACAGCCTCCTTAGACCGCATCCCCCCGGCTCTTATCTCCTTGGCTGAGCAGAAGGGCTACCGTATTGCAGATGAAAATAGTCCACCACCTCTCTGGTGCATGAGACCGCTCCCCATAATTTATTCCCACATCCAGGTGGTGTATTGGAACATGGGCTTCCTCCGTTACTTTGAACTTAGACAAATACCGAATTTTCTTCTTGCTTTACCCATGGCAACTTTGGGTGTAATGGCAGCTTATGCTTATTTCCAAGCAAACCCACAGCTGTGTTTCAGACTTGGACTTTGTGAGGCTGATTCGAAGAAGGGCCTCGACAAACCAATACCGGGATTTTTAAACCCCAGAGTTTTTGTATATGTTGTGCACTCCACTGTTCTCCTGGTGTTTGGAACATTGTGTATGCATGTGCAGGTAAGACTATAACTACATAATTCCCCTGTTTATCGCAAGGGGATAAGTTCCATGATACAACAAACTTTTAAAACACATTGTAAATATATTTGAACCCAGAAAAATCCATTTATAAGCATAACATTGGTGTCGGGTGGAATCCTTGCATCTCCACAACCACCACAATTCCGGAAACCCCCAAAATGTCATGCTTGTTGAGCCATTAACATTGTATTGTTACAGAGAGTAATACATTTTGAATACCAGTACTTAAAACTGGTCAATAATTTGTAAAAATAACAGAGCTCCGTGGGAACTGATCAATAGTAAGAATTTGTGAAATTTGAAATTGACCAAATTTGGACATAGGATCCTTCAGCCTGACACCAGCGATGAATAAAAGCGATAGAAAATACTATAAAAATTGCAGTGTCTGTGTGCTTTAAGAGGCGTGACCTGCTGGGGACTAGTCCGTATCTGAATGTTTTGGTGCTGAAGAAGCTAAGCGTGTTTATTGGAGCTGCTTGTCACTCACATTTGCGGTTTTGTGTAAGTGTAAAAATGTTGAACCGAACCCGATAATTTCACTGGTCCACTAAGTTAATGCTTACATAGAATGGATGGGCACACATGGAGCAGCAACACATACAGCAATTCTCACAGGGATGTATTTTCTGCTCTGTGGAAAAAAATATATTATTGCTTATAGTTAGGGACCTCTGACTCTTCTCTCAATGAATTTTGCTGCATCTGTCCCAGTAGGCCCGGCATGTTGTGACACAAAATAGTTCTGCTCTGAAGGTGGTCAATTCTAAATCCAAACTTTACTGTATACAATACATCTTTATTAATATGGCACTTTCACAATAGCCACATTTGGAACAGCGTGCATGACGTCGCGCACGTCTGCTACAAACTAAGTTTGAAAGTAAAAACGTTGTAGCGTCCTTTGACGAATACAGATTGGCTGTAAAAATCCTTTAAAAAAAAAGTCTAAAAAATTGTGCGATATTGCAGGTGTGCGTAATAAAGCAGGGGTGACGATCTGTTTAATTAAAATGTTTCGCGAACAATTCCTCTCATGCTTCTTGTACAATGTTTCTAGGTCCTAACCCGATTCATGGCCACCTCGTCTCCCGTGCCCTTCTGGATCAGCGCTCATCTGCTGCTCCTCAACGAGCCACTTCTTCACCGAAGGAAAACATCGACGCCCAACGTTCAGCTGAAGACTCCTGCCAAAAACGGATGCAAGCACACGTTTCAAAACCCCGTCATTGCACTGATTCCGCACATCAAAATGTGCTCTCCCACCACAAAAAGCATTCTGGGCTACTTCCTTTCGTATTGGGTGCTGGGACTGGCAATGCATTGTAACTATTTACCGTGGACTTGACTTGTCATATTAGTCTACGAGACTACTGTTTTTAATAATGCACTGTTTCTTAATATAACCGAGAACATTACAAGTGACTGTCATGAAAATGACAAAAGCCAAACAGCATGACAAATGTTGTGCCTCATTTTGGTTCTAGAAAGAACTTTCAGTTGATGTGTTTATGTAAAAGTTACAATGAATGGGCGATTGACTGAATTACCTGGAGAAAATTAAATTAATCAATTTATAGATTGTTATTTTTAAATATTTTTAGTAGAATGGGAGAATCTGTGAATGTTGTGAGTTCCTGTTTCCATGCTGGTGTTGTTTTGATGAGAATAATGTCGTAGCTCATGACATAATGTACTTCTTTACGTCTGAAACTATACATACTATATTACTATTTATCAATTATAAATTCCACACAATCTACCAGATTCTAAATGATCAATTATGCCCATCCTAAGCACTGAGTCATTTTTGTCTCTTCTTCAGTGTAGTTCCTTTATAGCACAGGTGTCAAAGTCAAGGCCCGGGGACCAGATCTGGCCCGCCAGATCATTTTATGTGGCCCGCGAAAGCAAATCAAGCATGTCAAATTCCACGATGCTTGCTGAAGTCTGAACCAAAATTTCAAATTGTCATATGTAATCCACAATAGCAATCATTATTCTTGATTTCTGATTTTAAAACTAGTTATTCATCAATTTGTTTTGCGCTGTGTATGTAATGTGTGGAGGGGATTAAACATTTATACGGTTTCCCAAAATTCATAACGGCCCTCCAAGGGAAACCATAACTACAATGTGGCCCACGGCAAAAATGAGTTTGACACCCCTGCTTTATCGTTTATGCAAACTTGAGCAGCGTGCGCACATGAAACTTTGTTTACTTTATTCTTGACATTGTATTACCAAGAGTAACTCTAGAAAATAGCTACTGATTAAATGTGCTTAGTATTTGTTTAGAACTTGACTGTATGTATGTATTTTAAATATTCAGCTTTCATTTTGAATGTGAATGGAAAATATGATATAAAATTGCGTACATTCTCTGAAACAATTGGATTCTATTCGAATTCATCTGTCCGTCTTTTTGAGCACCAAAGTAACAAACATGATTCCAGACTGGGGTAGGTTCCCAAAGAGGGTGACTGAGACAAGATTTGAAACCCAGAACCTTTTGATTGTGAAGCATATGTGCTAGCAACTACAACATAGGACTGCATGCATGTGTGACTTCATCATGAGTTAAATTAGAGTTCAAGTTTATGAGCGGCACAATTTTGTGAAAGGTGAATGAATTTTGGTCACATACTACACTGATATTCATTTGATTTCTTTATATTCATGACTTAGAAGTGTTTTTCATACAAACATTTACTGAAATTATAACCTAACCTATTATATGCTGCCGCTATGCCACTAATTTGAATGTCAGTGCTGATCGGAAGAAAACGCAACTTTGAATGGAATTTTGAACAGCCATTTCTTAAATCATCTGACATCACGTAAAAGATCAATTGCTTAAAGATGTCTTTTTATATTTTCTTAAGACTGCTATCCCAAGTAAAAATAATGTACCCTTGACGTCTATAGCCGCCACTGGCAGCAAATGAGTCTCATAACCACACATGAGCGAAAAAACATACAAGAGACACAGCCTGTAACTTCTGCCCATGTTAAATTTAGCTCCTCCCCAAAGATCTTGCACTTGACATACTGTATATTATTTCAACATACAGCTAGACCCCACATAGTTGCAGTTCACTATTCATTACTTCACATATTTTGTGGAACATATCATCAGCTATTCAAGTAAAAACCAACTTTGTTGCGTTTTTGTGCTCTATGTATTGTATTAATACATGCACATACAGCGCATTTGACAATAAAGTTGTACTTGACTTAATACATCACAATATGCTTAAGATATCACAATATGCACAACACGAAGAAATTAACAAGGACAATGTAACAGAAATAAAATATTCAGTCAGTCAAACTTCATTTATAGAGCGCTTTTCAGACATAAAGTGCACTTTAAAGTACTTGACATGATTAAAACGAACCCTTCCTGTCACTTGAACACAAGGACGGAGACACAAGCACGCAAACACAGGTTAGAAAATAATGCAGTAATGGCCCAAGCCCCAAAGACTTGAGGCTGTAGCAACAAACAAATACAAAAACAAAAAACAAATAAATACATGGCGGAAACGGGCTTCGAATGGTACAACAAATTCATTTGTTTACATCGGTAACGTCGCTGAATCGTGACGTCATCAAGGACGGAAAGAGAAAAGGAAATATTACACTGTCGCGTCAAGCTGGACGCTTTCTTTCGGAATCAATCTTAATCAGATGAGTGTTTATTAATGTGTTTATTAATGTTAGCGCACATTTAATGTTTAACTTCGAAAATGTTAAGAGGCCTTGCATGGACTGGGAAGCGTTGTCTTGTCTTACAAGTCAGATACGAAGGAAAAGGTCTCTGCAGATCCGTTAGCTAATGTTAGCACCGAGGATGAGAAACATCATCGGGGGATGCTAACCCCAACAGCTCCACTTTTGCAATGACTGAATTCGTTTTCATTTGAAAGCCCAACTGAGAAGTTATCGTCGCTCGTGCCAAAATCTACCTCCGAACAACAACGGCGGCGGCGGTTCTGCCTACAGGATGAGAAACTGCGAGTACCAACAAATCGACCCGTTGGCGCTGTCGGTGGCACCGGCTTCAGTTCAGAACCTCACTGACAAGAAAGCGGAGCGACTGCGGAGAAAATGGGAAGTGTTCCCGGGGAAGAACCGATTTTTCTGTGACGGACGGGTCATTGTGGCCAGACAGAGCGGGGTCCTCCCTTTGACACTGGGGCTTATTGTTGTCACCTGTGGCCTTTTCTTTGCTTTCGAGTAAGTGCTGAAGCCTTGTTTTATTTTATGTCGAGCACTGAACACAAATGGTTGCTGTATATGTGGCCTGTCAAATGTTTGATTTCAGTATTATCAAAACGTTTTGAGTGGGCTAAACATGTGTACGTTTCTATTTCTAGTTGCCCATTCCTTGTGGAGCATCTGACAGTCTTCATCCCGGTGATCGGTGGGGTGCTTTTTGTGTTTGTGGTCCTCTCCTTGCTGAGAACAAGCTTTACAGACCCAGGCATCCTACCCAGGGCCACCTTAGATGAAGCTGCAGACATAGAGAAACAGATAGGTAAGGTGCACCCATTGCGTGGACAGATGGGGTGAAAGAGCTTTGCCATATGGGGACATCTGTGAGGGACTACACTCCAAAACTTAAGCAGCTTACTCTAGCGTCGCTATTGAAAAGAGCACAGCAGCTGCACATTTGCTCCTGACTTTATAGTTGTGCACACAACATTTGAGTGGTCTTCTTTTTTAAGATACCTCAGGATCCTCATCGTATCGCCCGCCTCCGCGGACCAAGGAGATCCTCATCAACCAGCAGGTGGTCAAGCTCAAGTACTGCTTTACGTGTAAAATGTTTCGCCCTCCTCGGACCTCACACTGCAGTCTTTGTGACAACTGCGTGGGTAAGGATATGGTGACAAGTTGCAATATACAGTAACCCCCCCCCCTCACTTAACACTATTTTAGTGCAGGTGATTTCGTGTACCCATTGGGCCAAACACTGGTATTAAAGTCCACTTGGTTAATAAAAATATGGGAATTAATGAGACTGTATGAATAATATCAAGGAATCCCCCATCCCAGATCTTTGACAGAAGATTATTCAATTTGAATGTTGCAAAATACTCAAGATTTTTTTTTTCAATCTCAGTCCTAACACTTGAGATATTAAGGGGAAAGGGATTATTTGCACGTGTGAAGGGATTTAATATTTTATGTTAAATAAGAAGATTATGAAGAAAGGCCATACACAGTTGACAGCAATGTGTCATAAACCCGTCACTGGGATTGAATCTAATAGATATGTATCAAGTGGTATTTATCACGACGTGAATAAATCAGAAATCAACCACTGAAGAAATGCGTGATAGTTTGTGTGGATGTCACATTTGTTTTAATATGGTAACTCAATTTGATAGGAAAGTCATTGTTTGCACATATTATGATCTTTGTCCAACTCTGAATATTTCCAAATCTATCCAGTTAAACCTTTCAGGGAACTTTGCTGTGCAGTAAAGAGAACAACTAATTTGCCCCCACCCCCACCCGCACCCCACCCTCCTCCCCACTCCCCTTCGCATTCTTAGTCGTGCCTAAACGTATAAGCAACATGTTAGTGAAGTGAAAATGTTTTCATGTATGCTTTGTGTGTTTTGTTTTCAGAGAGGTTTGATCATCACTGCCCATGGGTGGGGAACTGTGTAGGCAAGCGCAATTACCGCTTTTTCTACAGTTTCATCATCTCCCTATCTTTTCTGACATCTTTCATATTTGGTTGCGTCATAGCACACATTACTCTGCGTAAGTTTAGCACGCTCAAGCGGCATTGACATAACTGATGTTATCCTAGCTCAGTACTCTGCTGTCTTTTTTCCACAGGATCTCAATCGGGCAAAAGCCTCATTCAAGCCATCCAGGAGAGCCCTGCCAGATATCCTTTGAGTTTGCCAAATTTTCTTTTTGGCCTAATCCAACTCTTTTGGAGATGCATGTCGTCTCGGTCTTATTGTGGCAAGATATAACACAGGCTGTCAAGCCGTTCTCCAGTCTAAGCAAGCGCTTAATAGGATCAGTGTTGGCACACAGCAAGATGGCTTTCAAGCAAGAGGATCGCTGCCTCGTGTCACTGCCTCGACGTCATCATACTCTGCATGCTTGTTATTTTAGAAAGAGTATTTAGAATGTTGTGCGTACTTGTTATTGGAATCAGACGAGTAGTTTTGGTAGATAACCAAGTTTCTTTCATCACATGACACTTTAATGCTACAAAACCACCATAATAAAATGTATTAGTACAGCAAGAATAGTGGAGCTCATAGCAGGCAGCGTGTGTGTGTGTGTGTGTGTGTGTGTGTGTGTGTGTGTGTGTGTGTGTGTGTATATATATATGTATATATATACACACACACACACATATGGGTAACGTATATATATGGGTATATATATATGGGTATATATATATATACACACACACACACACACACCCGCACACCCGCTACAATGGGTAATACTTATTTGTCACATTATTACCGGTATATATATTTTTTGTCACACTCAAAAATAGGCATGCTGACATAGGTTGAGTGAGATGCAATGTAAAAGCTGTGTCCTAAACGTTGCTTTTACATATATGTCATCATTCTTAAAGAGGTGATTATTTATTGATAACTGTGAGGTTATTCCTTGACTTTGCTTTTATACTGTAGTGGAGCTGGTCATTTGTTTCTTCTCCATCTGGTCTATTCTGGGCCTCTCAGGCTTCCATACCTACCTAGTAGCTTCCAACCTTACGACAAATGAGGATGTAAGTAAACTGAACACCAGATATGACAATTCAATTGTCTCTTTTTTTTTTTTTTAACTCAGTACAATAACTGCAGCCTTCTTTTTATGTTGACTTTACAGATTAAGGGCTCCTGGTCAAGTAAAAGGGGTGCAGAGGAGTCTGGGAACCCGTACACTTACAACAGCATCCTAGCCAACTGCTGTGTGACGTTATGTGGGCCCATGCCCCCAAGGTGTGTAAAAGAACCACTGCACTAATAGGGATATGCATTTGACTACATTTCTTTCATTTAATATGAGAGCAATTAACAATCAGTTAATCTAGTGAATAAATATTAATGCTACAAGGAGGAGTTGCCGGAACACAGATGTAACTTAGTTTCCCATAGTTGATGCTTTGTTGTTCTCTTCCAGACTGCGGACTAGATTAAACCCACGCTGGCAGCAGTCATTTTATTGTTCTTGCCATAATCATCAAGCACCACCTACCTTAAAACAGACACATCATATTATGTATTCAACTATGCCGTTTTTTAAAAATTATTTCTTAGTCACATTTACCTAATTCCCAGATTCCCAACAATACTGTTGCACTGTTTTGTTTCTATCATTTCCACACTCTTCTACCCTTTTTACTTTCCCCATAATATCTGCACTGTGCATCATTTCAGGAAGAAAACTATTTTTAGATTGTATGTCTGTACACAATTGTAGAATTGACAGAGCTTTCTGCGTTTTGAATAAAAAAATAAAAAAAAATGCAATTCTGCTGTTTGCACCAGGTGTGTTTTGGAAGACTTGATGAACTTGTTGTTACCACAAATCACACAACACTGACGTCATCTTTTGTGTTCTGCAGCCTGATTGACAGGAGAGGCTTCCTGTCACCTGAGGAGTCTGTCCCCACTGTTTCTGCCTCAGAGATTGAGGTGCCTTCCTTCGCAGCCAAGAATGACGCGAACATGGTAGGGTGAACCAGACAGTGGTCCTCCCGTTTTTTTTTTTAAATAAACTTCTTGGGCTGAATGCAGAGCGTAATGTTTGGCGTACAAGTGACACGGTACATCACCCTGACCACACCTTTCCCACTGTAAAACGCGGTGGTGGCAGCAACATGGTCTGGGGCTGTTTTTTTTTTTCTCAGCAGGAACAGGGAAGATAGCAAGAGTTGATGAGAAGATGGATGGAGCCAAATACAGGGCAATTTCGGAAGATAACCTGTTGGAGTCTGCAAAAGAGCTATGGTCATTTGTTTCTTCTCCATCTGGTCTATTCTGGGCCTCTCAGGCTTCCATACCTACCTAGTAGCTTCCAACCTTACGACAAATGAGGATGTAAGTAAACTGAACACCAGATATGACAATTCAATTGTCTCTTTTTTTTTTTTTTTAACTCAGTACAATAACTGCAGCCTTCTTTTTATGTTGACTTTACAGATTAAGGGCTCCTGGTCAAGTAAAAGGGGTGCAGAGGAGTCTGGGAACCCGTACACTTACAACAGCATCCTAGCCAACTGCTGTGTGACGTTATGTGGGCCCATGCCCCCAAGGTGTGTAAAAGAACCACTGCACTAATAGGGATATGCATTTGACTACATTTCTTTCATTTAATATGAGAGCAATTAACAATCAGTTAATCTAGTGAATAAATATTAATGCTACAAGGAGGAGTTGCCGGAACACAGATGTAACTTAGTTTCCCATAGTTGATGCTTTGTTGTTCTCTTCCAGACTGCGGACTAGATTAAACCCACGCTGGCAGCAGTCATTTTATTGTTCTTGCCATAATCATCAAGCACCACCTACCTTAAAACAGACACATCATATTATGTATTCAACTATGCCGTTTTTTAAAAATTATTTCTTAGTCACATTTACCTAATTCCCAGATTCCCAACAATACTGTTGCACTGTTTTGTTTCTATCATTTCCACACTCTTCTACCCTTTTTACTTTCCCCATAATATCTGCACTGTGCATCATTTCAGGAAGAAAACTATTTTTAGATTGTATGTCTGTACACAATTGTAGAATTGACAGAGCTTTCTGCGTTTTGAATAAAAAAATAAAAAAAAATGCAATTCTGCTGTTTGCACCAGGTGTGTTTTGGAAGACTTGATGAACTTGTTGTTACCACAAATCACACAACACTGACGTCATCTTTTGTGTTCTGCAGCCTGATTGACAGGAGAGGCTTCCTGTCACCTGAGGAGTCTGTCCCCACTGTTTCTGCCTCAGAGATTGAGGTGCCTTCCTTCGCAGCCAAGAATGACGCGAACATGGTAGGGTGAACCAGACAGTGGTCCTCCCGTTTTTTTTTTTAAATTAATGAAAAAAATTATATTTATATTGGGGGGGGGGTTATCTATCTATCTACCTTTTTTTTAAAGAATGTCTCCTGTTCAAGCACACTCTGCTCTTGTTTGTTTGTACTGTATATGATCTCCTTCAAGTTGTTAATTGGTAGTTGTAGACGGAACTTGAAATACGTAAATGTGAAAGAATGAATTAGTCATGCTGGCTCTGACCTAAGTAAGGCACGTACTTGGTGTATGACAGAAGAATTTAGGCCTACTTTAAATCTGGCCAATAAGAAAAAGAAAACGATTCATCCTTGAAGAAAAGAGTAACAGTTTGTGTTGGAGTGTCAAAGCAGGCTTGCTGCCGAAGTTGTTTTCGCGCAGCTTAAAGTAATTGTTCTTATTAATTGATGCTTTTCATTGTTTTGTTGTTGTTCTTGTCTTGAGCTTGCAACGTCGAGCAAAACTTGGTTTCAAAAGAAAGCCGGAGCGCATTCACAAGCCAGAAGTGTGTCGGAACGTGTTGGAAGTCGCAAGCTGAGCTTGACTCCCTCTGACTCAAAATGTCTGTTTCATGTTACAAAACATGTGTTTCAGTTTTTTGATACTTGACTGAAGTGGTGGTGGTTTGAATTTTTTGGGAGTCTACATATTGATGAGTCTACCTCCTCTCATATGCTTTGCATGCAGTGTACAGAATATATCAGCACTTTTTTTTCCTCATTAGTCATTCACCATTGTGCATTATTTACTTAAACACAGGGAACATTTCAGCATAACTTTAAGAATGACTTTATTTCTTTAATAAAGATAATTTTGGGATTTTGCCAATTTGGTCTCTATTTTAAAAGTCTTTTTACTCTCTTAATTTTTCTTAAGGCTGATACACGATATCGACAAACGTCAACACATTTTCATGAATTAACCAATCAACCGGGATTTGGCTTGTCATGTTAACAAGACTTCGCCTTCTATGCAATTTTATACACTTGGTGTGCACAACACAAGGTACATGAAGGTGTGATTGGATGATTTTTCTGTGGAAGAACTTGACTCACGTCTGACCTCACCCGTTCAAAATACTTTTGTCACAGCCACCCAAGCTGTCAAATGTACACTTTTAATGCTCGTTTGCTATATCCATTCCACCCACCAGGAGGAGACCTGTCAGGATTTTTCTTTGTCCTGCACAGCCTGAAAAGCAGGCCAGCGTATACAGTATAAGGTGGATGGTAAGCAGAGGGTCACTCACATTTCCTTCCTCCGTGATGCGTTGCAGAGTTTGTTTTGTGCAAATCAAGTTTGGTTCGATTTTCTGACTGTTTGTCTTGACGTTGGGATTTTTTCACTAACGTGAGAGCGCATGCTTCACTGCCATTTATTCTCCTTCACATTTGTGCCCACTCACCCCATGTTGGGGCTGGATGGTAGCCACATTTGATGTGTTGACACAACTCTGTCCTCTCCTCTCTCTGGATCTGGTTAAAATGGTGTTTGTTCATCCACGTCTATGTCACGTCTTACCGTGCGTGCATGGTGATGTAAGCAAACAAGTCCTTGCTTTCCATTTCCCTCGCTGCCAGAGAAGTCAGGAAGAGTTCCCGCTTCACATCCATCCTCACCTTGTTCCGTATGGTTGCCTTCTGCTTGCACTGTCTGCATTTATAACCTTCCTCCGTGCATCTGAACAGACTGCCTTCATAACACTGGATGCCAGCCAAGCTAACCTAAATATTTCTAACTGAGAACAGCGCTTTACTGTCCACTCTTGACTTTTGCTTTCTTTTCCTATTCACGTAGTGCACACAAAGCACCAAAGACGTGCTCGAGAGGATGCTCCACTCCTCCGCCTCTTATGGTCTCTGCCTTCTCGGCACCCCAAAGACCACCCCTGTGGGCCTGGAGGTTACCGGTGCCCCAGCACGCGCTGCGGAGACGTCACCCACGGAGAGGTGCTGGCACCAGACCGCGGACGCCCCATGCTCTCCCTTCTCCACCAGCAGCACGAGCGACTCGATACACTCCATCAACCCGGCGTTCCGTTTGGCGTCTCCTTCGCCTTCGCTTGGTCGAGCCATGCTGGTTCTCGACGAGGCACCAGACGTTAGTTTTATCCCATAACCTTAAAGGTATCCAACTTGGAGGTCTTGTAGGAGCTTTTTCACAAGTGCTTCTGGTCCTGTTTGGTACTCCGTGTCGACTTCAAGCACAACAAGTGGACATTTAACACCTCTTATTAAAGCACCCTAGCATATGCCTCCTTTTACAGTACAGAACTTCAAGCCATAGAGCCAGCTCAGTCGCAGTGTATAATTTCTTGCTCACATCTTATGCAAACCGCTCTTAAATCCTGAGAACAAAGGTGAGTTTCTGGATGACTGAAGGATAAAAAAATAATATCACTGGACCAAGCAGTGTTTCATTTCAGGAATAACTCCAGGGAAGTCCTATAATTCAGACTTTTTTTTTTTTTTTGATCAAGGCTTTCCAACCATGGCAAACAGATCGATTAACCTGAAGACCACCAATGGTGTAACCTAAAATTTGAGAAGTGCAAAGGAAAAACCTTTTGGAGCCACATGCAAAAACTTTGGTTTTTGTAATGCAGTACATGCTTTGTCGTTGTATGTCATACATTGGATTGTGGCTATAGTGTATGCAATATAAGCAGTACTTTCATAATTAAAATCATAAAAGGGAGAGTGTGGTTTCCTCCCACATTCCGAAGCGGTGCATGGTGGGTTACTTGAAGACTTGAAATTGTCTGTTGGTGGGAATCCGAGTGTGTCCATGGTTGTTTTTATGTGCCCTGTGATGGACTGGCAACCAGTTGCTCATGTACCCTGCCTTTCGCCTTAAGTCAGCTGGGATAGGCTCCAGGTCAACCGCAATTCTGAGGACAAGCGGTTTGGAAATTGGATGAATTTAAGGGTTGCACTGGACCAAGGACAGAATAACACAGCACTATACATAGGCCTGATTACATTTTTTTCCATGATTCCCAAAGGTCTGCTGTCTGCTCAGACAGTATCCAGTTGGCTACCCAATGTTTGGGAAGCCCTGCTTTTAGTGGACAGCAACACATTTTGAATTAGAGGGCAAGAAGTATTTTTTTTTTTTCCAAAAATCCCTCATTTGCTGTAGTCATCTGTTCTACATGTTATGTGCCTTTATGGCATCTCAATTAAAAACAAGGTCATTGTTTGCATTGAATATGGATGAAATTTTAATCAAAACAAACCATCCTGTTTATTGCTGGGCTTCAGAGTGAAATGTTTGAAAATAAGACTCGGTTTGCTTTGCCTTGGGGCAAGTTGACGAAATGAAAACTGCCGAGGGTGTTTGTGGTTCAAGGTTTCAATCATTTTAAAGCCAAGTTATATTTGGAATGTGAATGAGGTCGCATAACCTGTCAGTTTTATGTCTTTGTAGTTTGTACTTGTGTGCTTAGCATGTCTGCATCACAGTTCTGAGGCTTAGGGTTTGAACTTTGCTTTCTGTGTGGAATTTGCATGATCTTGTGCTTGTGTGGCTTTTCTCTTAAGTTCTCCCACATACATGTTAGGTTCACTCAAGACTCTAAATCAGTGGTCCTCAACTAGAAATGCTGTCGGTCCACTTTTTTTTTTTTTTTTTTAATAAGAC